TGGAATTGGTGTTCTAATAAATGCAAAAAGAATGTCTCAGGGTGACAGCAGAACAGCATTATTTTAAAGCTATAAAGTACTACAAACATAGAAATAATAGCTTCAGTAATGATTTTTCCAATATACTATATATTACAATATAATAAGGATCTAGTTTCTTAAAAAAAGTTATTTCTGCGTAGTATTAGTCATTAGTATTAGTCATTCTCTTTAAGTTTTTTTTTTTTTTAAAGATTTTATTTATTTCTTTGAGAGAGAGAGAGAGTGAGAGAGAGAGCGCAAGAGGGGGTAGGGTTAGAGGGAGAAGCAGACTCCCCGCCGAGCAGGGAGCCCGATGTGGGACTCGATCCCGGGACTCTGGGATCATGACCTGAGCCGAAGGCAGTCGCTTAACCAACTGAGCCACCCAGGCGCCCTCTCTTTAAGTTTTTTAAAAAAAACTTTAGGCTTTAGCATTCTTCTGAATTTACTGAATAGATTGAATAGATTTTTTCCTAACCCAACAGATCATTAAAAAAAAAGCTGACTTTAAAAATGCTTGGAATCCCAACTGATTGTACAATGTATGACAGGAATAATGAACAGATTCTTGATTATTATCATTTTTTTCAACGACTTCCTAGAGTAAGAAGCCCTATTACTTCCAAATAAAGAGTTTGAAAACAACCATCTTACGCCATGCTGCTTTCCAGTGGAAAAGACCATATCACTCCCCTGCTTCAAATCCATCTGCAGAGTTGCTTCTTCCAGGAAGCCAATCATGAGCCTCCTAGGCCTTGACAATGAAAAAGACAAGGGTTGGAGTGCTCCTCAATCTACTCAACTGATGCTAATTAAAATTACCTCCAATAATGCAAAATTTTAAAACTAGACATTCTCTCAAAGATTTAGGGCATTAGAAAACTATTTTGTTAACTTATTTGTACCACTGGGACATGGTGGTGTATGCCTGCAATCATTGAGGCCAGGGATAACCTGAAATCATGAATTCTGAGTTCTCTGAAGACTGAATATGCACAAACACTTGCCTACTAGTTTGCCTAGGGAGAGTTAAACTAACACTGCTCAAAAATGGAGATGATAAATACCATTATTGCAATAATACTAAGTGAAAAAGAATTAAAAATACAATTAATTCTTTCTTCATTCACTAGGTGAAATGAGACTTGTAGGAAAGCAGAACAAATAGAGGGGTTATCAAAAGTAGACTTTTTCCAGTTACTCTGCTTAGCTTGTTGAACTGAAATAAAACAAGACAAAATACCAACCTACTCCCTATTCATTTATGATGTGTTAGTTACTATCCTAAGAGCTTTATAGTCTTCAACTCATTTAATCCCCAGTAAATTCCTAAGATATGGGTCCTAATATTTTCCTCATCTGGTGACAAAAATGAATTGTGGAAATAACTTATATAGGGTAACACAGATAATAAATAAGAGAGACATGTTTTCAATCCAAGCAGTGTAACTCCATAACCAGTGCTCCTAATCTGTATTATTAATTTTTAATGTGTTCTTTTCTTTTTTCTTCCTATACTATAGTTTTTAGACTGTTCCTTAGAGTCCTGGGATCCCATGAGAATGCTTCTGGGGCCATTAAGGAAAAGTAAGAGAAAGCAGATGGGACTCTACACCCTTTACCAACCAAAGCCACTTCACTACATCTGTTTAAATATTGAGGATAAAATTAAACTTTTCATAGTAATAATTAAAAAAAAAAAAGATTCTCATACTAAAAGGCAAAAAGTGTGAAAATCACAGTTATCTAGACTATAATCTTCATGAGGTCAGGATCTATGTCCAAAAGTTTCTCATATGTTTCATATTCAATAAATATTAAATAAATTAAATCTATATGGCAGTACTATTCTCATAAAAAATTAATATTCATTCATACCATTACATCAGAGAGAACCTTGAATACAAATATAATTAAATTAATAACACTAATAATATTAAAATCACACTCAGATTGGTGCCACTTAGTTTTTAACCATAAGCAATCAAAAGATTTCATTACCTCAAGGCTACTGATGGGTTAATAAGCATAAAAGCATAATCCATTCTCCCATACAAAAAGTAGGTATGCCTCCCACACATATTTTTTTAGATATATCAATAATCATATTGCCTGAGGTACTAAAATGTCTATGTATTTTTTTAGGATTATTGAATACAAGAAATTACACTGAAATTCAAGTTATCAGTAGAAATATTTTCTGAAGTTCATGAATTGTCTTCAGTTTCACAGAAGTTACAAGGGAACTTAAAAAAAAAGGATAATTGAGGAAACTATCTAAAAAAATTATTTTGAAAAAATCTACTCTATTAGTTATCTTTAACCCCTTTGATCTGTGGGCCTAACAACTTACATACATGTTCATGAAACAGGGATAAAGGCTACCCACATCATTTTGTATTCCCTTTAATGGTGAGTTTTCAGCTTCAGAGTGAACATCTAAATCAATCAAAAAGCATAGAAGCTTTAAGAAAATAAAACTGAAGTATTAGCTTTTTTAATCGTGGATTTGAAATAAAAGGCAAAAGTAGCAAAAATAAAAACTCAGTTTTTTTCTCTTGCTCAAAGTGATTGGAGATTTTAGCGAAAGTACAGTTTCCAGCCAAGACACAGACATGAAATAATATTCACTGCTTAAAAAACCCCTGAAGTTTTCATCTAAAATTTTTCTTACTTTATGATTATTACCAGAAAGTAACAAACTATCACCCTCCTGGCTAACAAACCTCACTCTTAGGCTTTAATTTCAGTTGAAATGGAACATGTGAAGGCGATATATATTAAGAGAGGGTCAGCATTAGATTTACAAATTTATTGTAATAAAAGTGTTTTGAAGTGAGGCAATAACTAATAGAATGAAGTTTCTGATACCTTAAACATATACAAGAAAGTTCAACAAATGCCAAATCTAGCTCAACAGAAGTGATTAGAAGATTTAATTTTAATACTCATTTTTAAGAAATTATAGTTAACCATCTGGAGACAAAACACTAAATAAGACTGTATTAAAGGCACAGGAAACTAGAACGTAATAATCCCTTAGAAGGAATTCAGTTTGAATGAAAGCCAGAGCCGCTTCTGAATGATTAGCATGAACATTAACTCTTGTTCTCTTCTGACCCGCTCAAATTTTTAATGCCTAGGCTGTTAAAGTATTTTCTCAATCCTTGTAAGAAAGCACCAAGACTGATTTTAGATTAAAAACAAAACAGAACAGAACAAAACAAAACCTCTCAAGCTTTATCAAGTGTCTAGAACCAAAATAATTTTGGCAGTGCCAGGATAGGAGTTACCCCAAAATTAATATGACTTGGTGATATGAGTTTTCTGGTACTGATGTAACCACCATTATATAAAACATTTTCCAGAGATGGTACTACAGATGATTTTCAGTGGTCAGGCAGAAGAGTCCCACAGACATCCAAATAAAATTACAATCTGTATGGACTGTTCCTATCTCTGAAAGCTCAGCACCCACACACTTTACTTTGATATCTAAATAGCTGCCAGAATCATAGTATAAGTTTTGGCTTGCTCTTCTCAGATGAGTTCCTTTTCTCCTCTCCCAGAAAAATAAAGATAAAAATTTTTAAAAATTGTTTATTTAACTAGCACTAGGATCCTAGAAAAATAATTTTGAATAAAGCAATTCACATTAAAGCATGAATAATATTAATCATCAAAGGTTTAAAGGAAGAGTTTATTAACCCTACACAGTATCTGCTTGAGCAGAAAGGCTATTTTCTGAGTGGATCAACTCTAAACCAAGAAATCAGAAATTAAGTAATTATATCCCCTATGCATTTCTAAAAGATTGCCAATAGACAATTTTGACAATTAAATTCTAATTTTCCAAGAATACTGTAAAGACAATGGTTAATTTAGGAGACAAATGTATTAATGCCAATGTACAAAAGGCATTATTTAGAATTTTGGATTTTGGATGGTTAAAGAGTCCTATACTATTCTCAGATAGTGAAAAAGAGTTGTAATAATGTTCTTAATTAATCTATACTCTGTATTTAATCTATTATCTTTGGAGGATGCCTCCTGGGCATCAGAGATTCAGTATTAAAATATGAATTGAGAAAAGAAAATTACAGATTTAAAAATAAAATTTCAGAATTTGCAAAAAACCCAACCCCCCCAAAAAAGGACACCACCCCAAAAGGTTAAAATTGAAATATCAAAAATAGTATACCATTATTTGGGGCTTTTTGAAATGCAGAATTTTATTTGTAAAAGGGAAATGAAATAACCATCTCTAATTTTATAATTAGTGACAGCGATATTAAAAAAACATATAGATCTCATTATTTCAAAGTCGATCAAAGACATAAATATTCAACAAGCTTCAAGAGGGTATAGACAGAGCAGGAAGAAAAGGGAGCTCCATGGAGAGACAAAAGGAAAAAAGGGGCAGTGATCAATTATCCCCAAATTTAAAAGATCTTTAAGGGAAAGTGATTTGTTAAAATATGTAAGCAAAAGGAAGTTCATACAATTTTCTCATTAAAAAAAATCTTAATTTCACATTAAGGTTAAAAAAAACTAAGATCAAGTGTAAAAATAAATTTATTTAGAGTTACAGAACTGGTGAGCATAAAAGATTTATTCTCTAACATTCCCACCAATGTCCAAAAAACCATGACAGTTCTACTGAAAATATAAAGGAGTGATCTCACTCGGTTTCTTTTTCTTTTCAGAGAGCCTAGGTTTTCTGTTTGAGATTATATTTTTGCATAAAGTGATAGTTAATCTTCTACCATGTGGTAATCAATCATATGCCACCTGAGGAACTTGATAATGATATTCTACTAGCACTAGAATGAATGACTCAAACATGCATGTTTAAATCTTCCATGAAAATAGAAACTCTCAAAACATATATAATACTCATGTTCTAATATGTAAAACTCTACTCTTCTTTTATTGCTAATTTCCATGAAACATATGAGTTTCACTTTGGAAAGACCTACCTGAATAGCTGAGTTCATGAAACACGTATTTCCCAAGTTACTTAGGCCACAGAGGCCTGGCTGTTCATTGTTTCTGCCAGGTTCTGAATAATCATAGTTCTTATAAGCAGTATATGATGGGAGACAATAATTTGAGTTTTTCACACTGGAAGAAAACAAAGAATATATTTCATAATGCAGCCAATTATTACAATGTAGTTATATGAGCAGAGTACTTCAAACCGATTTGAGATAGGTGGTCAGTCATTAAATTTTTTTATTAAAAAAATTAACATTTACTTTTAAAGACATGAATCTAAATCAAAATAACCCCTTTAATTAAGATATTTCTCATCCAATCAACAAAATCACTGCATACATATGCCACACCAACCAATACAAAACCACTATTATATCTTTCTACCCTTGATTAGCTGGAGCAGCTCCACAGCTCGCTCCGTTCTTCATTGCTCCATCAAATTTAAAACATTCAGATTTTAAACAACACCCGCAGCAACAAATCATCTCATTTATGTCCCTTTTACATCCTGCTACTGTAACAGAATGAGAACAGTAGAAACAGGAGGAGTTGTACTTTAGTTACAGGTGAGAGCAGAGACTTCCAAGGCCTCTGTGACATCACTGGTCTGATGCATTGAAGATTCTATTTATAGTTTCTATGCTAGACCAGCAAAATCTAGTATTCAAATGCAGAAAAAAGTCTGGGGTGATCAGGGCTGCAAAAATGAAATGATTCTAAGCAAGTATATTCCAGTATTTGCCTTATCTTTCTTCCAGTTTGTTAGAAAATGTAGTTTTTTTACCTAGATGATTATAACCTTAGGATAATCTGGACTATCAGCATTATAAATATTAATCTTAAAAAAAGCTATATAATTTTCAACTTTAGAGATCAGAGTAATTTTAGTCAATAAGTTAAATTGTCCCTCTTTCTTTCTACATGTAATAAAAAAATAATTTTGTGGAAAAGGATCGATTCTCCCTTAATTTTTAATAGGTTATCTTATAAAATATTTACAATGGACACTTCAGATATAATTCAAAACCATATTTTCAATCATCATTTTTTTAATTCATGAGAACAAACCTCAATGAGAATCAAGGTCATGCTAAAAGCAAATCAGGATTCAAATAAAGGAATACAGTGTTACAAATAAACATGATTAATTAGTAACCCTGATAATCTCAATTGGCTACATTTATTCGGGGTATTCTTTTTTTTTTTTTTTTGAGAATGAGAGAGAGAGAGCACATGAGAGGGGGGAGGGGCAGAGGGAGAAGCAGGCTCCCCGCGGAGCAGGGAGCCCGATGCGGGACTTGATCCAGGGACTCCAGGATCATGACCTGAGCCGAAGGCAGTCGCTTAACCAACTGAGCCACCCAAGCGCCCCGGGGGTATTCTTTTTTAAAAATATTTTTTACTTATAATTTCAAATACTTTCTATTGTATCTTCTATACTTTCACTTTATTATTTTAACAGTTTAAGAGAACTGTATTACTGCCAGTTATAACAAAGCCTTTAGTAAACACACACACACACACACACACACACACACACCCCTCAACAAGCTACACAGATAAAACAAAACTACCATAATCCAAAACTACACATACAATGCTAACCTAATAATATTTTTACATTTTTAAGAACATACCCCCAACATAAACAAAAAGACCAGTTCCCAGACTCAAAGAAGCAAAACCTCCTGATACTAAAAAAAAAAAAAAAAGTATAAAACAAAAAATAGACTCAAGCATCTTTTGTTTTGTTTTGTTCTGATATGTAAAACTCTACTCTTCTTTTATTGCTGATTTCCATGAAACATGTGAGTTTCACTTTGGAAAGACCTACCTGAATAGCTGAGTTCATGAAACACGTATTTCCCAAGTTACTTAGGCCACAGAGGCCTGGCTGTTCATTGTTTCTGCCAGGTTCTGAATAATCATAGTTCTTATAAGCAGTATATGATGCAGATCATTAACTTTATGATTCATATTTTATATTCCCAGTCATGACTAAAATGCAAGACACCTATTAGCAATTCAATATATGTTCACTCAGTGATTGATGACTGGATTTTTGAATCTAACTTTGAGGACATGTAACAAAAAGCTAAATCCTGTTTTTCTTTTATTCCTGTAAGTGCTAAAAATCAAAGTCTCTATATACAAAAATGAAAGGCCTGCATTTTCTACCTATTCTCCACAATAAAAAAAAATCCACACATATTCCAGATATAAAATTATAATAAAATTTGAACAGAGTACACTATGTTCAAATGTATGCTCATGCCTAGACACATACACACACACACACACACACACAAAGTGAAAAGACTAAAAAAGCACATTTACATGCTTATTCCTTAAGTATATATTCAGATATCTGTCTCTGCCACAAGTAACACAAATGGATGCTGGAAGCTCTTCTCTTCTTAGTGGCAACAGGATGGAATTTGCTGGGATAGGGATTTTTATTTACTGAGAAATGAACAAAAACTTGCAAAAGCAGTTTGTCTTTTAAAATTTGAATCTTAGAGGATATCTACATTTAGTTTAAGTGACAAAGTAAATATAAGCCTTGCCCAAAGATTGAGACAGTCTAGATGCTCAATGATAATAATAAAAACTGACAAATTTAAAATATTTTAATACTATATTGATTGGCCACTTGTAACTCAATGTGCTTCCTAATTCAAATATTAAAATAAGTAATGGAAAATACCAAAACCAGGAGTTCTTAAAACGCTTCAACAAGGTACATGGAAACCTAGGCCTATGACTATTTTTTCCCTAAAGATGGCAAGCTAGTCCTTATCCTCTATGGCTGTGCTATTTTGCAAAAATAAATTAGTATGCCTGTAACCTTAATGGGAATTTTAGTATTATACTACATTAATTCTGTATTATAAATCTATCACCCTAAATAAAGATACACTGAAAATCAAAGTAACTTATTTTTTGGTAAATTTCAGATTGACTTTTCAATTAGCACTTATATTTGACATTATAAGTATTATAAAATCTATAATTTAATCCTCATAACTATAATTATGCTCATTTCGCAGCTAATGAATGATGCTTTCAGCAAGTAACTTGCAAAGAGCCATATGGCTGGCTAGCTCTGTCAGTCTCCAAAATCAAATTCTTTTTCATAGTTTAATCTCTTACAGGGAGTCATTTCCATTTCAAATAGAAGAGCTTTAAATTAATTAACATAAAAATAGAAATGTGCTCTGATGTGGAATGCCAAGAGTTGCGACAACACATACATTAAAAAGATGTTTTAAAGGCAGTGTTATATCAAAGCAAATGTAGCAAGACAGAAAAATGCAGGGAACAAAAAGAGAAAGAAACTGGTGCATATTAAAAATGAACTTAAATTATAATTTGAGTCAAAAACAAATACTGTATAGACTAGCAGGTAAAATTACTACATCAGAGTAAACAACTGATTCTTCATAATATTAGTCTTTAATAAAAGCTTTCTTAAATTTATATGAAATAATTCCAAGTATACTTTGTTATTATCTTTATGACTAATATCCTTATTTCTGGAAGTGAAAACTTTTTATCTTAGTAATGTATCAGTTTAATTCAAGTTTTGAATTTGTAGATAATTTCATATAAACTTGTAAGTCATAACTACTGATTTTAGTATATACTTTGGCACTTGTAGAATATTTCCATATACATGACGTTTCAAAAATGCACTTAATCTAAAAAAGGTCATTACCCATTTTACATACTTTTTTTTTTTTTTTAAGATTTTATTTATTTATTTGACAGAGAGAGAGACAGCGAGAGAGGGAACACAAGCAGGGGGAGCAGGAGAGGGAGAAGCAGGCTTCCCGCCGAGCAGGGAGCCCGATGCGGGGCTTGATCCCAGGACCCTGGGATCATGACCTGAGCCGAAGGCAGACGCTTAACGACTGAGCCACCCAGGCGCCCCCCCATTTTACATACTTTTAAAGAAACTATGCTACTTTCACAATAAGTCTCAAATTCCTACTTATTTCTACAAGTTGAATGGAAAGAAATAAATTTTATGTGAAATAATTTAGATAATTATTATAATATTAATCCAAATATTAATTCAAATTCAAAATAAAGTGTTGAGTCAAATTAAAATTAAAAAACTCCCGTTTTACAAATGTTTAAATTTTGTTCTTTACTAAGAAAGTTAAGCTTTACATTTATTTATTTATTTATTTATTTATTTATTTATTTATTTATTTATTTATTTACATTTAACCTAATTTTATTCATACTTGCCATGGGATGGGGAACAGATCATTCAGTAAAAACATACAGTAAAAACAAAATATGTCTTATCATGTACAACTTTTAAACTACAATAATGATGTACCTTAATTACTTCCATGCACACAAGTCTAACATTACAGGTTTTTTTTTTTTTTTTTAAATAAACACAGTTAAGACTTCTAGGAGCATTTTATAATAAAGTAAGCTTTACTTTTAAAGCTTTACTTTTAAGCATGGTGGTACTTCAGTAGCTATTTGCTATAAAAATTTCCTATTATGAAAGGACTATTTTAGTGCCTAAAATAAACAAATATAAATAGCTAAAAATATAATCTAGCCATAGAAGTAGAATCATTAAACATATTTCAAACTTAAGAAAATACTCCAATTCCTTTCCCAGTATCTTCTGCAGCCAGAGGTTTTAAGATCCGATTATACCATCATATTTTTACTATGGGAGGGAAATAAGACAAAAACAGAAACACACCAGACCAGATATAGTAGTATGACGACTCCAGTCAAAAGGTCCCAATACAGTCTATGTTCAATGCAGTCTACATACAATGTTAAAAATTTCTCCAAAGAATAACTATAAATATGTTATACATGGAACTGAATTCTTTTATAGTAAATGTGGGAGCATCTGCAATTGGTAGAAACACAAGAAGTATTTTATCTCCCATAAAAAAATTATTTTTCATGAATTTAATTAAAAGATACCATATAAAATACAAACCAGATTACAAGGGTATTTCCTTTCAGTTTTTTGCCTGTGGACATACATTTTTAAGCAGTAAAGAACATACTACATTGCAAGTTTGGATATTCATAGCATCTTCAATATTTCACTATTACACTATAATGTAATTACACTATGATACACGTCTTTTTATAAATTATTAAAATAAGGGAATTAATGTTTTAAATCTTCTTGACACACATGGCAAATTCTTTTCTAAAAAGTTGGACTAATACTCCAACACTCAAACGAAATCCTTGCAAGAATAAGTATCATTACCAGTGAGACTGAAGTGCAGAGAAGTGGATGGAGTTTTTATGGTTTTAATTTACACATCTGTAGTTAGTTGTGAATTTTAGTATTTAAAATGTTTACATATTTTAATTATTTTGCTTTTATTGCCTGCTGTATCATTTGCCCATTTGTCTACTTGTCTTAGAAAATTTCTCACTGATCTTTATGACTTTGATATATTAGGAATATTTATCCTTTGTTATTTGTAGCAAGTATTTTTTTCCATTTATTTGCCTTTTCATTTTTATATGCCTAACAATTAAAAAGTCAATTTAACATAAAGTTTTAAAGAGAAATTCTCAATAGTAATCCAATTTCCCAACAAAAGTTCCTGGATAATCCGCTCATTCTCCATTAGTCTATAGTGTTTTCTGATTTTATGTATAAAGGGCTGTTTCTGGACTGTCTTTTCCATTTCACTGATCTGTAGGTGTATTCTTGGGTCACTACTATGTGGTTTGAATTCTTATTATCTTTACAACAGGTTGTGATATTTGGTAGGATTAATCCTTCTCATTTTCCTTTCCAAAATTATTTTGGCTGTTCTTACATATTTATAACCTAGACGTACATTAAAAATCATTTTGTCAAGCCCTCTCTCCACCCCAGAAATGAATTTTAAGGGAAAATTAATTAAACTTACAAATTCAATTAATGATGTTATTTTAAAAATTATTTCACAAATAGCCTTAGTCCAAATTTACTCTTTGGGAAATCAGATGCCACTTATGAACTGGACAAGTAGTGCAAATATTTAACTACATACAGTTAACCTAAAAAATAAACAACAATGTATCTATTCAAGAAATAATAAAAGGGTAATCGTCTCTAGATTAAAGTTCTTCCCCTAATTTGACTGGACTAATCACAAATAATAAAAGCTTTCTTTTTATCCTTTTCTATAAAAAAAAAAACAACAAAAACCGTGACAAGGTAATGTACCTTCAAGGTAATATACCCATGTCAGACATTATAGTGAAGCCCAAGTGATTTTTAAACTTTCTTCTTATGGCAATACAGCATACACTTTCATGTAACTTTTATAAATTCTGAGATTCTGATTCATGATGGGGTAAGGGAATTGTTTCTCTAAACTTTTTAAAGAAAAAGTGAATGCGTTTTTGATAAACATAAAAATTTGTGTATGCTTTCCAGGTGAGAATCACTGATATATACTCTAAAAAAAAAACCTACAGACTGTAGGTGATTATATATCTAGTTCTCAAATGACATCTGAAATTTACACTCTTACTAAAAAACTGAGTTCTAATAGACTTCTGTATATATTTTCAATAGTGTTTAAAAAGTAAAATTCTGAAAGTATTTTATTTTTCTTTTAGTGGATTATTGTAGTATATGTATTAAATCAAGAAGTTTATAACTGTGCTTTCTTTCTGGTAAAGTTACTCCTAGAAGAACTGATCAGTAATTTAAAAGAAAATTCAATTTTAATGCATTAAGACTTTTATCCTATGTTTTAGATACAAGAGATTTTTGAAACCACAATAGGGCGATCAATTAAACAAAGAGTTTTTAAGATTCAGTGCTTACTTTCTGTTGTTGATGTTGTTATAATTATTTGATAGAGATGAAGGAGAGATCTTTGGTAAAGCTGAAAAATTGGATGCACCTGGGGACCTTTAAAAATATGAAAATGTTAAATTAGATAAAAAATGCTGAATTTTGAAATTAATTATGAAATAAAGAAAAGAACAGATGACAATGTATGTAGTAAATGAATGCTGGAAAACAGATTCATGAGCAAAATCACTATATATCCTTTTTTTTCTATTTCCTATGTATTTTTTCATATAAAAAATAATGGTACAAAAGGGAACTGTTTTCAAAAGAAATTTATCAAATTAAAAATACAACTTGGTATTTATTATTCCTATAAATCTTCGGACTCAATACACCCATTTCTGAGTTCAGGTAACCATTTTCAATGTTTTACAAACAATAATTTCCTTAAATCGGTAGAATTAAAATATCAATTTTTTAAGAAAGCATGTAAAGGAAATCCAATTTGTATCTCAGTAGGTACCATCACATTCTACTTATACACAACACTGACACAGAGATCCGCGGATTTACCAATTCTTTAAAATGTAAAGCAACAGGGATACAATAGCATAAAAGAATTCAAACATAATCCCGAGAAGTAATTTTTGGCCAAATTATCGCTGCAAAAACTGAAAAGACATACATCTGACCATATATTACTCACCTCACTAATTCAGAATCTTTTTGGAGAAATTTCAATTACTAATGGCTTTTAATCAGTCAATATGCTTTATGTGCACAATTTATAATCAACAAACTCATTACATAGGAATGATTACTTTAAAATACTTATCAGCTCTCTTAAAGATTTAATTTTGTAAACAATTTTAATTTACTAGGCAATAGCTAGCCCATGGGCTATAAAAAGCTGTCAGTCTAGTATCTCATTCATCATAAATTCTAAATTAGTGAGGCCCAAAGTGATTGGTTTTAAAAAATTATGTTATTTCCTTTAATCAGGTGCTAATGAACAGTGAAATAAATGGTCAATGGGCATGAAAGTATAATCTACAAAATCTGCTTGAAGTCTACAAATTTTAGGTGATTTAGATTTCACCATATCTATATACTTACAATGCATTACGCAGAATACATGGTGGGCAATAACATTTCTTACATATAAAAATTTTTACTTAACTTTTGAAAGTTTTATACATTATGAAATATTGGTAAAAAAATTTTTTTTAAGATTTTTTAAATTTTTATTTATTTGACAGAGAGAGGCACAGTGAGAGAGGGAACACAATCAGGGAGAGTGGAGGAGGGAGAAGTAGGCTTCCCACTGAGCAGGGAGCCCGATGTGGGGCTCGATCCCAGGACCCTGGGATCATGACCTGAGCCGAAGGCAGATGCTCAACTGACTGAGCCACCCAGGCGCCCCCCAATTTTTATTTTAAAGGAGTTTCTTTTTGTTGATACAGGTTGTATATAGGTAGATTACACTAAGTAAGATCTCTATTTAGATGCCTTTCTGATAGGAGACCTTATATTATTTTAGTGTACTAAGTTCAAAACATAAGACATAATCAACCAAGTTTTAATATAAAACAACGTAGAGGACACATTTAAAAGGTTATCTTAATATTTTAAAAGGTACTAGTTTTTAAATATTAATAGAAATACAGAAGTATCCTGGCATTTTTGCATTCATGTTAAGAATGCTAAATTATCAAAGGAAAAACCCCCCAAATTTATTAGAGATGGAGTTAAAATGAATTAAGGTTAATTTTTCAATGTAAACCACTTCAACTTTTCAGAAACAGAAATAAACTGAAATGTTCTCTTGAATCTTAATTACAGTCAAATTTATAGAAATAAAGATTCATTACTTTATCCAATAAAGTGGCTGAGGCACATATATATAGATATTTTTCCTTTTTCTGCCCATGTGTGGCCTTTTTACTATTCATTAGCAACTCTATCCAAGGATAGTATTAGAAGTTTCTATGAAATTCATTGAAATACTCAAACATTTATTAAATGACTACTATATGCCTTGCCCTTGGTAAGTACTAGGAATACAAGGACAGACACAGTTCCTGACATCAAACAGCTCACAATCTAATGGGAGAAAATAAGACATAAGCAAAATAACTATAAAGCAGTGTAAGTCCTACAGAAATTTTAAAACTCTAACAAAATATAAAATTTTGTGGGTAGTAACATGAGGTGATTTAAAATGATGTGCAGAGTTGGAGGGATAGGTGGAAACTAAAAGTGAGGGTATTCCAGGTGGAAAGAACATGTGGCACATGCAAATGTATGGGACTGTAGAAACAATGATGTGTTTAGGGAATTACCAATAAATTGAGTTTGGCTTAAAGAGTAGAAGTATGTAGTGACAGGAACAGAAGTTAATAAGGTAGGCATGATAATAAAGAAGCTTTTATGTTCTATAAAGGAATTTATTAGATCTTATTCCATTGTGCTGGGCATGCTGAGTTTATTTTTTTTTTTTAAAGATTTTATTTATTTATTTGACAGAGACACAGCGAGAGACACGGCAAGAGAGGGAACACAAGCAAGGGGAGTGGAGAGAGAGTAGCAGGCTTCCCGCTGAGCAGGGAGCCCGATGCGGGCCCAACCCCAGGACCCTGTGATCATGACCTGAGCCGAAGGCAGACGCTTAACGACTGAGCCACCCAGGCACCCCGGCTGAAAGAGTTTAAAAGAGTATCTACATAATCAGATTTGTGTTCTAGAAAGGTAATTCTTGAGAAAGAGAAAGGAGACTGAGAGATCATTTAGGAGACCAGATTAATAAAATTAATAAAGGTTGGGGCAAAGACCACATACAGGGTAGGCAAGGGCACATGTCTTGGATGTTTAGGGAGTGGTTCTCAAGGGACAGTCAATGGACCCTGAGAGGGCCCCACGATTCTTTCAACATACCCATCTATGAGGTCAAAACCATTTTCATAATAATATAAAGGCGTTATTTAAGTGTTATTTGGCCTTTTTCACTGGGTGGATATTTGCAATGACATTGCAAAAACAATGGTGGGTAACAATGCGGACACCTTAGCATGGGTTAAAGCAGCAGCACCAAATTATATACTAGAGTCACTGTATTCTTCACTGCCTCCTTGCAGTGGAAAACAGTTTCACTTAAGAATATCCACGTTGAAAGATAAAAAATATTGATTTTATTAAATCTTGACCCTTAAATACACTTCTTTTTAATAGTATGTGACAAATTGGGAAGTGTGCATAAAGCACATCCGTTCAGTAACATGATTGTCCTGAGGAAGAAGACTTGTGTAATTATTCGAATTTCAAGCAGAACTAGCTCCTCTTCTCACTGCAGCACTCTTCCACATGAAAGGCTGTCTGGCAGACATCGCCTCAGAAATCAATGAAGGGAGCTGTAACTTCAAGGAAAAACACTGAAAGTATTTGTTGCCAATGATAACATTCACGTGATCAAGCAAAAACCAGAATTCTCGAAAACTTGACTTTGCCACTGTGAGGCTTGATAGCTTCCCACTACTTAAAGCCTTTCCTTGTAAGATTGGTGATGTTTTAACAAATGTGATTAAAAAATACTGTATGATGAAATATGTCAATATTTGGAATATCTGCATAACTCGGTGAATCAATATTTTCCAACTGCATCAAGTTACACATGATAGATTTTAACATAATAATTGTATTAAAAGTTCATTGATGTGGTTTCAGATTCCACATTGCAATTAAATTTTCATCATTAAACCACCACTGGTCAAGTTCTGATGTGGTATCAATTACCTGAAAATACCTCTCTGTGTTCTAACTACGTATCTGTGTGAAACTGAGTTTTCTTTAAGCACTTCAATCCAAACAATATATCACAACAAACTGAATGCAGAAGCACATACGAGAATTTAGCTGTCTTCTGTTTAGTCAGATAGTAAAGAAATTTCAAAAATGTAAAACAATTTTTGTTTTTGAAGGTTATTTTTCATTAAAATATTATTCATGTCAAAATATAATGGTTTTAGTATTATTATAAATATTTAAAAATTTATTTTTGACTTCTAATCCACATAAAAGAAGTTCTTTGGGTCCTTAATAATTTTTAAGAATGTCTCTCTCTCCATGTCTCAAATAAGTAAATCTTTAAAAAAATAATTTTTATGAATGTAAAGGGGTACCAAGATCAACATATTTTATTTATTTTTTTTCTTCAAAGATTTTATTTATTTATTTGAGAAGAGAGAGAATGAGAGAGAGAGAACACATGAGAGGGGATAGGGTCAGAGGACGAAGCAGACTCCCTGCTGAGCAGGGAGCCCGATGCGGGACTCGATCCTGGGACTCCAGGATCATGACCTGAGCCGAAGGCAGTCGCTTAACCAACTGAGCCACCCAGGCGCCCCCAAGATCAACATATTTTAAAACGTCAGGTTTAGGAGGTAGCATCTGCAAGACTGCTAACTAATTAGGTGAAAAAAGAATGAGGCTGAAGGAGGAACTCAAGATGGCTCTGAGTTGGTACCTGAAATAGGGTATACAGGATATGGATACATATTAGGTTGAGGGAATGGGAGAAGGTAAGATAAAAAAGATTTTAGTTGAATCTTAATGGCAAATCCTACATGACATTTAGAAAAAATCTGGAATTCAGAAGAGCGTTCTGGGCTAGAAAAATAGAATGGCCTATTCCTGTCAGTTTGAGCTGAGGAACAGAATTAGCACACAGTCCCTCCACTGACTTTGAGAACCTATTATGGTATGAAAGGAGAGGTCATCAGATGGAAATCTGTGAAATTATCAATGCATTTAAGTTGTGAGCAAAGCTGTTGCATATAAACAGTGAAGCTGTACACTGCACAGTACCAAGGAGGGCCTCTCACATAGATTACAACGGGGAAGATGCCCAAGAGCTGTGCGGCACACTACCCACACAAGCAAACATGGCACTCCCAAAGAGGAAGAGCACCAGCCAGCCAGAGAATTGGCTAGAGAAGTGTAAACAGTTCTTGAATCATGGATTCAAATTACGAGAAGTTCTTCAGGAGACAGTTAACAAAAAGTATTAAAGAAAGGTCGAAAAAAGACTTTGTTAAATCCCGAATGGGTGGTAAGGAATAGTAAGTATGGCCTTTTTAAAGTTGGCTGTCAAAGGAAAAAAAAAACCCAAAGTATGGTATTTGGAGGAAGTTTATGGGTTTTCTTTTGTTTTTAAAAACAGGACAGATTTGGGGAAGATGACACTGGAAAAGAAAGAAAAAGAATGAACTGTTAAAATGAGTGTCTACTATATGTGTGCAAGTATGGTAGGCATTTATATATATGTAGAAGGGAGGAGATAATGAAAGAAAAAGCAGTTCTAGGAAGCACTGGGATAAGTAACATTGGTAGAGAAATTGTCCTTCATAGCATAATGATCCAAAAGAGAAGGATGGATATGGTCCACAGGTGAAGCTGAAGTATATCAACGCTTTTTAAGTGCTGTTACAGACATTACGGATGAATGTTACAGATCACTTATCTATTCTGATTCCAACTTCTGACTAGATTACACATAGCCCAATCTAGCTAACATTTGTGGAGTTAATTTAGGGGTTGACTAGTCAGTCTGTGGATTATAATCTGAGCCCTTTAGCTCTACTTCTTTGATGTAATTTGGAAATTACACTGTTCCTCAGCAACTCTGCTCTAGTGGCTTTTTAAGGAGAGGGGAGAAAAAAATTACACAGGATATTACACACAGACTAGATACTAAGCCAGTTATCAGGCGTTAAACTGATTTTGGCTAGTTTGGGCTAGGTGTAAGGAAGAGATCCATTTCTTAAACAAGACAGAAAACAGTAAAACATCAATGTGGCTGATATTATTTCCTGAAGACAGAAAATCAAACTTCATGCCGGACAAATGCAGTATTTGAATTGTCCTATTTCCAATGTTTCAACTAAAAGCATGCAATTCAAGGCTGTAAGTTGAAATTTTTACTTCAAGAGAAAAATACAACTTGATAAACTAATTGAATATTCTTGATAAATTAACTAATAATTAACTTACATGAAAACCTAATACCATATTGAGCAACCAAAATACAGAGATGTTAAGTCTCAATGCTGACATAGCAAAACAATTAAAGATTTGTATAGGTATTTTCAAATCTGGCATAAAACAACCCAGTGTTCTAAGATCTAACATTATAAAATAAGAATTATCTTATTCAGAAAAATGAGACCAACCTTAAACCTACCCATTTCTAACAGATAAATTCTTAGAGAAAAAGAAAAATTTAAATCTCTCTAAAAATTAAACACTTTTACTGTGGTGAGATTACAGTTCAACAAGCCCTTTGCTGTGTGCCTCTCCTATGCCAGGCAGTATGTTAGGTATTTAAAGATAAATGAAAAAGAGTTTAAGAGAATTTATATATAAATTGCTTCTCATAACTTTATTTGTTCCTTATTTTGACTGTTATCAGTAGTATTTATAACATAAAACACTCCATTTTAAGAAAATAAAATTAGTTACTTTTCTTCAGTATGAATCCCAGTACCAAAATTGCAACCCATTTTATTTTCAACTTATTATAGAAATTTCCAAACATACACAAGTCCTCATGTACCCAGTACCAGAGTGTACACTCGGTTTCAAAAATTAACAACCTGCAACTTCTGTTTTATCTTTATCCCCTTGATCTCCCCCGCCCCATGTTTTTGCTGGACTATTTTAAAGCAAATCCCATTTATTTCACCTGTATTTATACACGCGCGCATGCGCGCGCGCACACACACACACATACACAATGGAATATTACTCAGCCATAAAAAAGAATGAAATCTTGTCATTTCCAATGACATGGATGGAGCTAGAGGGTATTATGCTAAGTGAAGTAAGTCAGTCAGGGAATGACAAATACCATATGATTTCACTCATATGTGGAATTTAAGAAACCACACAGATGAACATGGGGGAAATAAAAGAGAAGCAACCCATAAAACAGACTTAACGATAGAGAACAAACAGGGTTGCTGGAGGGAAGGTGAGCGGCAGGATGGGCTAAATGGGTGATGGGTATTAAGCAGGGCACTTGTGATGAGCACTGGGTGTTATATGTAAGTGATTAATCTCTGATTTCTACTCCTGAAACTAATATTACGCTTTATGATAACTGGAATTTAAATAAAAACTTGAAACAAACAAAAAATTACAGTATATATCCCTAAAAGGTAAGAGATCCTTTCTGATACCACTGTCAGATCCAACTGAATACTCTGTTCATGTTCACTTTTTTCACCAATTGTCTTAAAAGTATCTTTTCTCGGTGGAGCAAGATGGCGGAGGAGTAAGAGACCTGGATTTCGTCTGGTCTCAGGAATTCAGCTGGATAGGGATCAAACCATTCTGAACAACTATGAACTCAACAGGAGGTCGAAGAAAAGAATAGCAACAACTCTCTGAACAGAAAAGCGACCACTTTCTGGAAGGTAGGACGTGCAGAGAAGTGAATCTGAGGTGATATTCGGGAGGATAGACGGCGGGGGAGGGGGCCTCCATCAGCTGCTTCTGGCAAGTGATAGAGCCGTGGACCACAAGATCGGAACTTTTAGAAGTCGGCTCTGCTAAGGGACGTCGCTCCAGTGGCTAAGCAGGGGGTGGAACCCTCGTGGGACACTGGTCTCAGGACCCTCGGGGTCACAGGAAGACCAGGGGTGCCTGAGTGTGGCAGAGCTCCCAGGTATCAGAGTGGGGAAGCCGGCTGCAGTGACGCAGCCGAGGCGCGGGCTCTCAGCTTGGGGTTGCCATAAACGGTGATCCACGGCACAGTCGGGCCACTGCTCCTCCAGCAGGGACCCAATAAGCGGCAGATCCGGGGAGACTCCCCTTCCTCCCCCGGGAGGAGCAGCGCGGGAGCGCACTGCAGGGATCTGCTGGGTTTGGAGACTCCACACTGAGTTGGGTGTCAGAGATAGAAACGCTCGGTCACAGGCTGGGTGAGCACGGAGTGCGGCCAGAGCAGGGAGACGGGATTGATCGACTGCTTTTCTCTGGGGACGCACTGAGGAGCGGGGCCCCAAGTTCTTGGCTCCTCCGGGGTGGAGATTCGGAGACCGCCATTTTCACTCTCGGCCTCCAAAAGTGCATGGAAAGCTTGCAGGGAACAAAAGCTCCCGAGAGCAAACCCGAACAGATTACTTAGCCCAGATCGGGCAAGGGCGGGGCAATTTCGCCTCGGGCAAAGACATTTGGGAACCACGGCAACAGGCCCCTCCCCGAGAAGATCAGGGAGAATAGCCAGCCAAGACCATGTTTACCAATCAATGAGAACGACAGAACTCCAGCGCTAGGGGAATAATGCACATAGAATCCATCGCTTTTTTACCATGATCCTTTAGTCTTTCAAAGTTAATTTTTTCTTTAACTCTTTTTTTTTGAATTTTTCTTTTTCCCTTTTTCTTTTTTTAAAGATTTTATTTATTTATTTGACAGAGAGAGACACAGCAAGAGAGGGAACACAAGCAGGGGGAGGGGGGGAGGGAGAAGCAGGCTTCCCGCGGAGCAGGGAGCCCGATGTGGGGCTCGATCCCAGGACCCTGGGATCATGACCTGAGCCAAAGGCAGACACTTAATGACTGAGCCACCCAGGCGCCCCATCTTTTTCCCTTTTTCAACCAACATCTTATCAATCCCTTTTCTGAAAAAAATTTTTATTTTTCATTTTTAGAGTCATATTCTATCCCTTCATAGTAGTTGCCCTTATTTTTGGCATATATATATATAAGTTGTTCTCTCTTTCCAATTTTGAGATAGTTTCTTCTAACAGATCAAAAATACCCTAAATCTCTAGTGTATGGTTTTGTTCTACTCTCCTGCCTGATCACATTCTCCCCCTTTCTTTTGTTTTTTTAAATCCTCTTCTTTCTTTTTTCAAACAACTTCGTATCAATTCCTTTTATAAAATTTTTTATAATTTTCATCTTTACAGTCATATTCCATCCCTTCATCATATCAACCCTTATTTTTGTACATACATAAGTTTTTCTTTATTTAAAATTCTGGGAGGCACTTCTTCTAACAGACCAAAATATACCCCAAATCTAGTATGTGGCACTGGTCTATGCACCAGCCTGATCATATTTGATCATACTGTGTTTTTTTTTTTTTTGGTTTTTGTTTGTTTTTATCTTTTTCTTTTTCTTTTTTCTTTCTTTCCCTTTATTTTCCCCTGGCTTCAGGTCTTTTCTGATTTGTTTAGAGTATATTTTCTGAGGACGTTGTTCCCTGTTAGCATTTTGTTCTCTCATTCATTAATCTATTCTCCTCTGGACAAAATGACAAGACGGAAAAAAATCACTCAACAAAAAGAACAAGAGGTAGTACCGACTGCCAGGGACCTACTCAATACGGACATTAGTATGATGTTGGATGTAGAGTTCAGAATCATCACTTTAAAGATACTAGCTGGGCCTGAAAAAAGCATGGAAATTATTAAGAGAAACCCTTTCTGGAGAAATAAAAGAACTAAAATCTAACCAAGTCGAAATCAAAAAGGCTATTAATGAGGTGCAATCAAAAATGGGGGCGCTAACTGCTAGGATAAATGAGGCAGAAGAGAGAATCAGTGATATAGAAGACCAAATGATGGAAAATAAAGAAGCTGAGAAAAAGAGAGATAAACAACTACTGGATCACAAGGGCAGAATTCGAGAGATAAGTGATACCGTAAGACGAAACAGTATTAGAATAATTGGGATCCCAGAAGAAGAAGAAAGAGAGAGAGGGCCAGAAGGTATATTGGAGCAAATTACAGCAGAGAACTTCCCTAATTTGGGAAGGAAACAGGCCTCAAAATCCAGGATGCACAGAGAACCCCTCTCAAAATCAATAAAAATAGGTCAACACCTAATAGTAAAACTTACGAGTCTCATAGACAAAGAGAAAATCCTGAAAGGAGCTCGGGAAAAGAGATATGTAACCTACAATGGTAGAAACATTAGATTGGCAAAAGACCTATCCACAGAGACCTGGCAGGCCAGAAAGGACTGGCATGATATATTCAGAGCACTAAATGAAAAATATGCAGCCAAGAATACTATATCCAGCTAGGCTGTCATTGAAAATAGAAGGAGAGATAAAAAGCTTCCAGGACAAACAAAAACTAAAAGAATTTGCAAACACAAAACCAGCCCTACAAGAAATACTGAAAGGGATCCTCTAAGCAAAGAGAGACCCTAAAAGCAACATAGACCAGAAAGGAACACAGACAATATACAGTAACAGTCACCTTACAGGCAATACAATGGCACTAAATTCCTATCTTTCAATAGTTACCCTGAATGTAAATGGGCTAAATGCCCCAATCAAAAGACACAGGCTATCAGATTGGATTAAAAAACAAGACCCATCGATACGCTGTCTGCAAGAGACTCATTATAGACCCAAAGACACCCCCAGATTGAAAGTGAGGGCATGGAAAACGATTTACCATGCTAATGGACACCAAAAGAAAGCTGGGGTGGCAATCCTTATATCAGACAAATTAGATTTTAAACCAAAGACTGTAATAAGAGATGAGGAAGGATACTATAACCTACTTAAAGGGTCTACCCAACAAGAAGATCTAACAATTGTAAATACCTATGCCCCTAACATGGGAGCAGCCAATTATATAAGGCAATTAATAACAAAAGCAAAGAAACACATTGACAACAATACAATAAAAGTGGGGGACTTTAACACCCCCCTCACTGAAATGGACAGATCATCTAAGCAAAAGATCAACAAGGAAATAAAGACTTTAAATGACACACTGGACCAAATGGACTTCACAGACATATTCAGAACATTCCATCCCAAAGCAACGGAATATACATTCTTCTCTATTCTCCAGAATAGATCACATCCTAGGTCATAAATCAGGTCTCAACCGGTACCAAAAGACTGGGATCATTCCCTGCCTATTTTCAGACCACAATGCTTTGAAACTAGAACTCAATCACAAGAGGAAAGTCAGAAAGAACTCAAATACATGGAGGCTAAAGAGCATCCTACTTATCAAAAAGAAAAGAGAAATGACCCAAATCAACAAAATCATGAATGAAAGAGGAGAGATCACAACCAACACCAAAGAAATACAAACAATTATAAGAACATATTATGAGCAACTCTATGCCAGCAAATTAGATAATCTGGAAGGAATGGATGCATTCCTAGAGATGTATCAACTACCAAAACTGAACCAGGAAGAAATAGAAAACCTGAACAGACCTATAACCACTAAGGAAATTGAAGCAGTCATCAAAAATCTCCCAAAAAACAAAAGCCCAGGGCCAGATGGCTTCCCAGGGGAATTCTACCAAACATTTAAAGAAGAATTAATACCTATTCTTCCGAAACTGTTTCAAAAAATAGAAATGGAAGGAAAACTTCCAAACTCGTTTTATGAGGCCACCACTACCTTGATCCCAAAACCAGACAAAGACACCATCAAAAAGGAGAATTACAGACCAATATCCCCGACGAACATGGATGCAAAAATTCTCCCCAAAACACTAGACAAAAGGATCCAAGAGTACATTAAAAGGATTATTCACCACGACCAAGTGGGATTTATCCCTGGGCTGCAAGGTTGGTTCAACATCCGCAAATCAATCAACGTGATACAATAAACGAAAGAACAAGAATCATATGATCCTCTCCATAGATGCAAAAAAAGCATTTGACAAAGTACAACATCCTTTCTTGATTAAAACTCTTCAGAGTATAGGGATAGAGGGTACATACCTCAATATCATAAAAGCCATCTATGAAAAACCTACAGCGAACATCATTCTCAATGGGGAAAAACTGAGAGCTTTCCCCCTAAGGTCAGGAACACGGCAGGGATGTCCACTATCACCACTGCTGTTCAACATAGAACTAGAAGTCCTAGCCTCAGCAATCAGACAACAAAAGGAAATAAAAGGCATCCGAATCGGCAAAGAAGAAGTGAAAGTCTCACTTTTTGCAGATGATATGCTTTATGTGGAAAACCCAAAAGACTCCACCCCCAAACTGCTAGAACTCATAAAGGAATTCAGTAAAGTGGCAGGATATAAAATCAGTGCACAGAAATCAGTGGCATTTCTATACACAAACAACAAGACAGAAGAAAGACAAATTAAGGAGTCGATCCCATTTACAATTACACCCGAAACCATAAGATACCTAGGAATAAATCTAACCAAAGAGGCAAAGGATCTGTACTCAGAAAACTATAAAATACTCATGAAAGAAATTGAGGAAGACACAAAGAAATGGAAAAACGTTCCATGCTCATGGATTGGAAGAACAAATATTGTGAAGATGTCAATGCTACCTAGAGCAATCTACACATTCAATGCAATCCCCATCAAAATACCATCCACTTTTTTCAAAGAAATGGAACAAATAATCCAAAAATTTGTATGGAACCAGAAAAGACCCTGAAGAGCCAGAAGAATGTTGAAAAAGAAAAGCAAAGCTGGCGGCATCACAATTCCGGACTTCCAGCTCTATTACAAAGCTGTCATCAAGACAGTATGGTACTGGCACAAAAACAGACACAGAGATCAATGGAATAGAATAGAGAGCCCAGAAATGGACCCTCAACTCTATGGTCAACTAATCTTTGACAAAGCAGGAAAGAATGTCCCATGGAAAAAAACAGTCTCTTCAACAGATGTTGGAAAAATTGGACAGCCACATGCAGAAGAATGAAACTGGAGCATCTCCTTACACCTCACACAAAAATAGACTCAAAATGGAGGAAAGACAAAATGTGAGACAGGAGTTCATCAAAATCCTAGAGGAGAACACAGGCAGCAATCTCTTTGACCTCACTGCAACAACTTCTTCCTAGAAACATTGCCAAAGGCAAGAGAAGCAAGAGCAAAAATGAACTATTGGGACCTCATCAAGATAAAAAGTTTTGCACAGCAAAGGAAACAGTCAACAAAACCAAAAGACAACTGACAGAATGGGAGAAGATACTTGCAAATGACATATCAGATAAAGGGCTAGTATCCAAAATCTATAAAGAACTTATCAAACTCAACCTCCAAAGAACAAAGAATCCAAGCAAGAAATGGGCAGAAGACATGAACAGACCTTTTTCCAAAGAAGACATCCAAATGGCCAACAGACACATGAAAAAGTGTTCAACATCGCTCGGCATCAGGGAAATCCAAATCAAAACCTCAATGAGATACCACCTCACACAAGTCAGAATGGCTAAAATTAACAAGTCAGGAAATGACAGATGTTGGCAGAGATGTGGAGAAAGGGGAACCCTCCTACACTGTTGGTGGGAATGCAAGCTGGTGCAGCCACTCTGGAAAACAGTATGGAGGTTCCTCAAAAAGTTGAAAATAGAGCTACCATAATGGTCCAGCAATTGCACTACTGGGTATTTACCCCAAAGATACAAATGTAGGGATCCGAAGGGGTACATGCACCCCGATGTTTATAGCAGCAATGTCCACAATAGCCAAACTGTGGAAAGAGCCAAGATGTCCATCGACAGATGAATGGATAAAGAAGATGTGATATATATATATATATATACACACACACACACACACACATACACACAATGGAATATTATGCAGACATCAAAAGGAATGAGATCTTGCCATTTGCTACGACGTGGATGGAACTGGAGGGTGTTATGCTGAGCGAAACAAGTCAATCAGAGAAAGACATGTATCATATGACCTCACTGATATGAGGAATTCTTAATCTCAGGAAACAAACTGAGGGTTGCTGGAGTGGTGTGGGTGGGAGGGATGGGGTGGCTGGGTGATAGACACCGGGGAGTGTATCTGCTATGGTGAGTGCTGTGAATTGTGCAAGACTGTTGAATCACAGATCTGTACCTCTGAAACAAATAATGCAATATATGTTAAGAAAAAAAAAAAAAAGAAGATAGCAGGAGGGGAAGAATGAAGGGGGGGAAATCGGAGGGGGAGATGAACCATGAGAGACGATGGACTCTGAAAAACAGGCTGAGGGTTCTAGAGGGGAGGGGGGTGGGAGGATGGGTTAGCCTGGTGATGGGTATTAATGAGGGCACGTTCTGCATGGAGCACTGGGTGTTATGCACAAACAACGAATCATGGAACGCTACATCAAAAACTAATGATGTGGGCGCCTGGGTGGCTCAGTCGGTTAAGCGACTGCCTTCGGCTCAGGTCATGATCCTGGAGTCCTGGGATCGAGTCCCACATCGGGCTCCCTGCTCTGTGGGAAGCCTCCTTCTCCCTCTCCCTCTCCCCCTCCCCCTGCTTGTGTTTCCTCTCTCGCTGTGTCTCTCTCTGTCAAATAATAAAATCTTTAAAAAAAACAAAACAAAAAACTAATGATGTAATGTATGGTGATTAATATAACCATAAAAAAATTAAAAAAAAAAAAAGTATCTTTTCTCCCCAGTTGGTTGATTTGAATCAGGACCCAAAACAAGTCCATACATTTGCAGATCAATTTTGATAACTTCAAAAGCCCTTACTTGCTCCTGCCAGCTAACTTCTCTGGTTTCACCTTACAGTGACCAAATTTATTTTACATTTGAGTGATTTCTGTATCTATTCATATAGTTAACCTTGACTCATGTGTATTACTGCAAATTGCTCAAATCCTTTTTGGATCAAACCAGGGAACAAAAAGAAAAAAAGAAAGAAAATATTCAATAATTATTTGTGAGTACCTGTACATATCAAGTATCTATATAAAAATCATAAACTTAAATTATATTCATTTATGCATAAAATATACTGTCTAAATTTCATAACTTCAATTAAATCTGGATACAGCTTTTAAATTTCAAATCTAACACTAGTTACTGAACTCAACTGTGACCATGCTTTTGGCAAAACTTGGGAGACGTGGTACGGGTAACTAGATTGAAATTATCTTTCCACAACAGAAAGTTGGTACAGTGTCTAGCGGAAGGAAAGATTTATTTAATCCATGTGCATTTTAAGCATTTCAAAGGAGTGTGCATATAAACTCAGGATCTTAATGAGTATTAAAATGAGAAACCTCAAAGTACAGTCATTGGGAGTGTGCTTATGTGTAGGCACAAGCATTTCTAAAAAGGATTTGGAGTTTGGATAGTTAAAATAACCAGAAAAAAGCAGTTTATTTGGTAAATAGCACACAGGAACTTCTTTTTAACATTATTATGATGCCTATCTTTAGGTGACAAATACCTAGGAAAGGAGGTATATATTCAAATAACAAAAAACTAATATGGCACCAGATTAAGTTTATACTTAGTGTTTTGGTCACCAATTTGGTATTTTGTTAATCGGAACAACACAGATGGCAGAGAGACAATGTATGAGTAAGAACTACTAGCTTAGTTTTCCATTTGATTATTTTTGGCCTCTCATGCCTTATGTAGTTAATTTTGGATTCTTCTTTGGATGTTTTCTAGCCCATGAAAACTGCCTTTTCACAATCATCAATGACCCTTAACTTTTATTGACAAGATACTTAATCACATGTCTTTTGTCAATATTTTTGAATTAATGAAAATGTCTGAATGTGCTTACTCCCACAAGAGGAATTTAGGGTTTTTTCTGTAATATTAATAATCTAAAGCCATTCTTTGAAATAACTATACCTAAATAAAACCATACAGAAAAAAATTAATTGTACAACTTAGTCAAAATTTAATAGAGTTGTGTCTCAGAAGCTATGGCTAAGGGATAAATTGTTAACATTCAACAAACTCTGGAAAGTAAGGGATATAATCTATTGATTAGGTTTCTTGTCTCTTTAGGAACTGCTATGCTTTTACAATTATTCTACTTTAAAATATTTTTTTAGAAATACAAGATTTAACTAGGCATATATCTCTCACTGAATACACTATGTACCTGATGCCAACATGTCAAATTTAACAGAACAGAAAACCTCAGGTTAAGACTTTTCTAAGGTATTACTGCAAAACACTATGTTTTGAGAGGTTGTAAGAAATCAGAAAAACTAGATTAGAAATGCAAGTTCTGAAAAAACTAAGCACTTGAGTATTTTAAAAATATAACATGAATATAAAGACGTAAATTTCAAATCACACGGTATCTAGCAGAAAAATCCAGACAGAAAACTCTTGAATATTTTTTTGGTAGCTTTAGATTTCTAATACAGATTTTGAGTTGTTTCAGGGTATGTGCATTTTTGTAACTACAGGACTACATGTTTTAAACAAAATTGTATTTTACCCTTAACATTTTTTAATATTTAGCATTTCTTCTCAATCAAGTAGCACAAAAATTTAGTTTTAGCTGAGGATATATGGTCTCAATTCTGATAAAACTGGGCCCAGGACATTCTTCTGTTTCAGGAAACATATGCCTACTTGTTCATAACCGGCACCTAAAAATGCAGATTCCTGGGCCCAACATAAAGATTTATCTTTATATTCTGTTCATCCTATGGTGGTTCACACAGTAAATATTAAGAAACATTATCTACAAAATGTCTCAAAATGTGATTCTAAGACCAAAAGCATTAGAATCACCTGTGAACTTACTAGAACCATTAATTCAGGAGCTCCACTCCACCCAGTGCTACCAAATTAGAAATTCTGGTGATGGGGCCTAGGAAACCATTTTTAACAAACTCAACAGTGATTCTTTCTTCTATCACCATATTACAACTTGTAATGTTTTTCCTTCAACTTTTGATACTCTATGTAGGAACTGGGTATGTAGTAAGCAATATGAGCACTGGACAAATCCCAGGTTAGTGATGTTTATTAGAACTACTAGTATCTTCACACCATGTTGAGGACCAGGGGTTATATCCTGACAGATAAAATAGCAATTTTGAGTTTATAAAACAGAATGTTCTCTCTCTCTCTATATATATATATTTTTAAAGATTTTATTTATTTATTTGACAGAGAGAGACACAGCAAGAGAGGGAACAACAAGCAGGGGGAGTGGGAGAGGGAGAAGCAGGCTCCCGCTGAGCAGGGAGCCTGATGCAGGGCTCAATCCCAGGACCTTGGGATCATGACCTGAGCCAAAGGCAGACGCTTAATGACTGAGCCACCTAGGCGCCCCCAGAATGTTCTATATATTAATATCTTGAAATTTCTTTCTTGAGGGCCTAAGATTACAAGCCCTCTGCTGGAGTTAAATTTGTCTAAGTTACAAGTGCTTATAATGTGACTTCAATAAATACATAGAATTCCACTTTTTAAAGCTGGCATTCATCCAGAAAAAATGCTTACTTTACTTATAGACATATAAATAAAAGAAGTGATAATTCTTTAAACTTTTATTTTTCTAATCTGTACTATTTTCCTCTACTCTAAGTGCTTTCGTTACATTCTTAAATATATTTTCATGTAATGTGTTGTTTTAAATTTACATAAATAGTACTGAATTAAAAATCTCACTTTGTTTTTTCTTTTCTCTCAACTGTGTATTTTAACCGTATCCAGTTTTAAAGATCTCACCATTGTTACTTCTACTTGCTGCATTGGTATTCTACAGCATACCACCATTCATTTTTCTCTTTCCTTTTTTTTGGGGGGGGAGGGGCAGAGAGAGAGGGACAGTGAGAATCTTAAGCAGGCTCCACACCGAGCATGGAGCCCCATTCTGGGCTCAATCTCACCACCCTGAGATCATGACCTGAGCCAAAACCAAGAGGCAGACTCTTAACGGACTGAGTCAGCCAGGTGCCCCTCTTTCATTTATTTTTTAGATTTCTGCTTTGTTTCTGTTACTGTATAGCAGTTCTTTCTACATTATAAGTATTATTCTCATGTAGGTTTTAGATATTAAAAAACTGACATTTGACCTTTCACTTCAATGTATGGTTCCTATAACAGAAATACTTAATTTTGATGTAATCAAACCCACTAATTTTCACATTATGTTCTCTGTTCCTAAAATACAGATATTCTCTGAAATTTCTTATGAGCTTTGACGTTTTACGTTTCCTTTTTTTTTTTTTTTTTAAAGATTTATCTATTTATTTTAGAGTGCAGGAGGGCACACACAAGTGGGAGAGGAGCAGAGGGAGAGAATCCTCAAGCGGACTCCCTGCTGAGTAAGCAGCCCAATGCAGGGCTCATCCTCTAAGATCATGACCTGAGCTGAAACCTAGATGTGGATGCTCAACAGAATGAGCCACCCAGGTGCCCCCAAATTTATATTTTTTGAGTTTATCATGTGTAATGTAGTGATCCTGTTTTTTTCTACAAATAGCTAGCTCTCCTAATAAAATCTAGGCACCTATCTGCTTTAAGCAATCTGTTTCTTACTCCCTAGGGGTGCCACTTAATCAAGTTTTCATATATACATGAGGTGTTTTTTTTTTTTTTTTTGAGGTCATTAATTTATTCCAGTGTATTTGGTCTTTCTTTTGCTAGCATCATACTGTTTTCAATATTATAACTTCGTAGTAATCCTCACTGTCTAATAGGTCCAGTACTTCCTTCCTCTTCTTTATTGAAAGTGACTTAATCTTGGACCTTTATTGGTAAATGTTAATTTTAGAATGAGTTTGTGAAGTTTCTCACACACACACACAAAAAGTCAGGATAGAATTTTTAATAGGAGACAGTGACATGATAGATTTAGAGAAACAGGCATCACTAGGTTAAGGCATATTGTACATGATAATCTTTTGTCTTTATAAAGTTAGTTATTTCCCATGAAGGTTTTATGCATTCCTAATCAGGTTAATCTTTGTTATACTATTTTTTTTATTATATGTTAATCACCATACATTATTAGTTTTTTTTTAATGAAATATTTTTCTTTTTTTTTTTTTAAAGATTTTATTTATTTATTTGACAGAGAGAGAGAGAATGAGAGACAGAGAGCATGAGAGGGAGGAGGGTCAGAGGGAGAAGCAGACTCCCCGCTGAGCAGGGAGCCCGATGCGGGACTCGATCCAGGGACTCCAGGATCATGACCTGAGCCGAAGGCAGTCGCTTAACCAACTGAGCCACCCAGGCGCCCCCATTATTAGTTGATGTAGTGTTCCATGATTCACTGTTTGCGTATAACACCCAGTGCTCCATGCAGAATGTGCCCTCTTTAATACCCATCACCAGGCTAACCCATCCCCCCACCCCTGTCCCCTCTAGAACCCTCAGTTTGTTTCTCAGAGTCCATAGGCTCTCATGTTTCATCTCCCCCTCCGATTTCCCCCCCTTCATTCTTCCCTTCCTGCTATCTTCTTCTTCTTCTTCTTTTTTTTTTTAACATATAATGTATTATTTGTTTTAGAGGTACAGGTCTGTGATTCAACAGTCTTACACAATTCACAGCACTGCTATTTTCTAAGTGGGTTACTAATGGTATATAGCAGGGGTCAGAAATCTATGGCTCACAAGCTAATTCCAGTTTGCCATATTTTTTTGTAAATAAAGTTTTACTGGAACATAGTCACACCCATTTGGTGACATAATTCATAGTTTGAAAGCAGCTATATTGGTAGAGTTTAGTTGAGTCAGGTACCATATGGCCCACAAGCTGAAAATATTATCTGGTTCTTTATAAAAAAGGCTGCTGACCTCTGGGTATAAAAACATATTAATTTTTTATAATATATATTAAAAAAAGAGAAGATATCAGGAAGGGAAAAATGAAGGGGGGAAATTGGAGCAGGAGACGAACCATGAGAGACTATGGACTCTGAGAAACAAACTGAGGGTTCTAGAGGGGACAGGGGTGGGGGGATGGGTTAGCCTGGTGATGGGTATTAAAGAGGGCACGTACTGAATGGAGCACTGGGTGTTATACGCAAACAATGAATCATGGAACACTACATCAAAAACTAATGATGTAATGTATGGTGATTAGCATAATTAAAAAATGAGATTAAAAAAACATTAATTTTTATAATTTCTTAAAAGATTGTATTTGAGAGAGCATGCATGAGTGGGGGAAGGGGCAGACGGAGAAGCAGACTCCCCACTGAGCAGGGAGCTAGACATAGGGCTTGATCCCAGGACCCTGGGATCATGACCTGAGCCAAAGGCAGATGCTTAACCAACTGAGCCATCCAGGCGCTCCTAATTTAACAAATTTAGTCTTAGAGAATCTTGCTGAATTTTCTCAGGTTTAGTATTCTGCTGATGGGTTTTGGGTTTTACGTAGATGACTGTATCATATGCAAGTAGTGAATTTTTTTTTCTTTTTTTAACTTCCAATCCTATTTGGTTTGTGTTCAAAATTTCTCAATATAATGTTTGCTATAGACTTTGGGTATATGGACTTCATTGAGTTAGGAGAATTTCCTTTTATTCTTAGTTTCCAGAAAGTCTTTCCATACACCGATGCTAATTTCAAAAAAAAAAAAAAAAAATTTTTTTTTTTTGTATTCTAATAAACTATCACTGGGCAATTTATTTCATTCTATTACATGGTATTAGGCACATTTTATAGTAAGTAGATACTTAACTTTTCATGCTTTGAAATTTGGGTTTCCTATTACTCTGGGTGATTCAGTGAAGAATGGAACTCTTCAGCACATTTCTAGCAGTGCTTTCATTCACCAACATTTATTGTGATATGGTAATAAAATAATGTTTTATCTTTCAAGTGAAAAATCAATAATCTTAGGTAGAAAAGATCTCTAAATCCTTAGAACTCAAGGTACTTATCAAGGCACAAGCAACTTTGAAATTTCAAAGTACTATATAACTATAACAAGTACTTAACAATCTAAAGATAAGCTAGAAAAAAAAAACAAGAGTCGTTCTAATCTAAAGACTAAAAGTAAATATTCACAAAGAAAACATTTCTAACTTCTAAAACTTCATCAGTCAAGAAATTTACATGATTCTACCATGTGCTTTCAATATCTTCTTAAACTAAGTTCTACCCTTCAATCCTAAGTGGAGTAATATAAAATGTAATTAATATACTTAGTACAGACTCATAAAACATTTAAATGAAAAAACTTCACCTAAGATAAAAAGGATAGAGAACCACTCATTAAAGGTGAATTTTATTTTTTTGTTTTTTTTCAAGTAACATTTAATAACAAGGTAGATAACATATACTTATCTAACTTGGTACTTTTATAACACTGAAGCTAAAGCAAAACATCCTGTTCATTGGGTAAAAACGGCCTACTTAATGTGTGTACACTGAAGTGCAATTTAAAAAAATACTGTAATTATAATTTCAGAACTTCAGAATTTTAGTGTCAGTGTTCTCTTTTTTTCATATGGGAAAAGAAAATGCTTTTGAAAATCATTTGAAACTTGGACAAAAATTCCAGAGCTCTTCTTAGGACCACTCTGTAGAGTCTTCATGATTCAGATGACACAAGGGAAGCTTCAATTCAGCCTTTTCAAGAAGACATTCTGGCTCTCATGATCTCATCAACCAGGAGAATGTTGGTGGCAATCACAATGCAGGACTGTGTAAAGCTATTCTTTACACAATAGTTATCCCATATGTCTACATCGGCTGCTACCACTGGCTCACCTGTATTCAAGTCCACACCCACAAACTGACCTGATTCTGAATGTTCTGCTTGAACTTGTGTTTCCTGAAGGTCAAAACCAGAGTTCTGAGCAAGAACCTTGGGAATAATGAGCAATGCATCAGCAAATGCTTGGACTCCAAGCTGGGCCCTGCCCTTTACAATGGGCTTATATTTAATCAAGGCTTTTGTTATTGCCACCTCCACTGCCCCAGCACCTAGAACTACAAAGCCATCATCAATAGCATTTTTAACAGCCCTCAAACCATCCCTTATTGCATCTTTGATTTGAGGGAGTGTGTGCTTATTTGGTCCTTTGACCAATAACATGATGGAGTGAGGATTGTTATTTTTATTTATTTTTTATTTTATTTTACTATTGTTATTGTTATTTTTCAATAAAGGTGAATTTCTCTTCTCTCAATGTATACTCACAGACAAGTCCTGCATGTCCAAAACAATCAGGATTTAGGTCATCAAAAGAATTTAGAGCTACTCCGCCACAAGCAAGAGTCAGCCTTTCCCTATTTCTCCTTTTAACTCTATGCAAGAGCATCTGAAGGGGTCAATTCCCTTTTGAATGAATCTTTTATCTGAATCACACAGACTTTCTTTTTCAGTTCTATTATTTTTTAACTCTATCTTCAAGGAATTTTCTTTCAGCTTTTACAAGTTCCTCTTCTTCTGAACTCTTATAAAAAAAGAATTCACTTCTGTTTTTTCATATTCTAATGACACAGTGCACGTGAGGATGCATGCATCTTCTTCTTCTTTTTTTTCCCCCCTATCAGGATGTGTGTCCCATGGTCTAAACAAGACCTCTGATTAAGCTTGTATCAGTTTCAGATTTCTGTTTCATTTCCATGATCTCAAACATTAAAAGGTCAACAGGTTCACCTTGTTTTTTAATGACGAAAATGAAGTCCACTACAGCTTCTATTAAGGTATCAGGAAGTTCAGCATGTACTTTAGGAGGTAGAGATGTTCTGGCCACATTTGTAAGTGTTTCCCAGTCCATTTCTTTGCTTACTTTCACTTGTTCCAAAAACTGACGTGCCTTTTCCTTTGCAGCTTCAAGTCCTTCTGTTATTATTCTGGGACGAAGACTTTCAGAAATGTAGAGATCCACCTTGTTTCAGTAGCTCTCCAATGATTAAGACATTGGAAGTGGTACCATCACCAGTTATGTCATCCTAGGTTGTTGCCACTTTGGCTATTAAGGAGGCTGTTGGGTGTTGAATTTGCATTTCACGAAGCAGCATATTGCCATCTTCAGTAAGCTTGATGTCTCCAGCACCAGAAACAAGCATCTTCATGGTGCCCTTAGGCCCCAAGTTGGTGCTCAGCATGTCCTGCAGCCCCTGGGCCACACTGATGTTAATCTCCAGTTCCGCCTGGGCTTGGGCCACCTTGGCCTTGGGGTTCAGGGTCTTCAGGGCCTCCACAGCTAACCAGAACAGGAAGAAGAGGACACCTGGTGTGCAGAGTGCCCAAAGCTGGCTCAGCGTGGCCATGCATTTCAGTTTTAAAGATCAGTTTTCTTTTATTTGCTAGGTTAGCAATTAATAAAAAATTATTTTTAATTTATTCAAGAATCATTATTTTAAGGATTTCAAAATATAGGTTTACAATCCCTCATCAGAAAATCTGAAATTCCAAAAGCTCTGAAAATTTAAAAATTATTTTATAATTCACTTGAGGGCAATCTAGCCTAAACTGATACGAAACTATTTATAGTCCTTTAAACTACTTAGTGTGAGTATTTGCAGAATATTAATGTGTTTGATTAAGAGAGTCCCCCTGGAACCCATAGATATATTAAAATAATAGGTGGCATATGCACCATATTACTTTTCAAAGGTTTGAAAAGTTTGAAATTGAAATACAACTAGCACTAAGTGTTTTTGATAATGGAGTGTAGATCTGATCATTCTAAAACCATTAAAAATATTTTCTCCCATTCTGTATGTTGTGTTTTCACTCTGTTTATTGTTTCTCTTCCTGTGCATAAGCTTTTTAGTTTGATGTAGTCCCATTTGTCTATTATTACTGCTTTCGTTGCTTGGTTTTTGGTGTCATATTCAAGAAATCATTGCCTGGGCAGATATGATGATGCTTTTTCACTAAGATGTCTTCTAAGAGTTTTATAGTTTCAGGTCTTATTTTTAAATCTTTAAGCTATGTATTTGATAAAGGTTTAATATCCAAAATATATAAGAAATTCCTACAATTCAATGGCAAAAAACCCAAATAACCAGATTAAAAAGTGGCATACAAATGGTCCACAGGTACAGATGCTCAACTTCAGTAATTATTGGGGAAATGCAAATCAATCCACAATGAGATATCACCTCATACCTGTTAGGCTGGCTATTATCAAAAGAACAAAAGATAACAAGTGCTCTCAAGGATGTGCAGAAACTGGAACACTTACTTGTATACTGTTGGTAGAAATGTATAATGATGTGGCTTCTATGGAAAACAGTATGAGGGTTCCTCAAAAAATTAAAAATAGAAGTACCATACAATCCAGAAATCTCACTTCTGGGTATATATCCAAAGGAAATGGAATCATCTCAAAGAGATACTACATGCCCATGTTCACTGCAGTACAATTTACGATACCAAGATAGGGAAACAACCTAAATGTCCACTGATGGATGAATGGATAAAGAAAATGTATATACATGCAACGAAATATTATCTGGACTTTTTTTTTTTTTTAAGGAAGTAGGTCTTTTTTAAGGAAGGAGATCTTGCCATATGTGATAACATGGTTGAACCTGGGGGACATTATATTAGGTAAAATAAGCCAATCATAGAAAGACAAAAACTACCTGATTCCACTTATATGAGATATCCAAACTAGTCAAATACTCATAGAAAGAGAGACTACAATGATGGCTGCCAGGGGCTAGGGGAAGGGAGAAATGGGAAATTACTGAGCAATGGGAATAAAGTTTCAGTTACATAAGATGGATAGATTCTAGAGATCTACTATACAACAATGTGCTTACAGTTAACAATACTGTATGGTGCACTTAAAAATTTGTTAAGAGGGTAGATCTCAAGTTAAGGGTTCTTACCATGTTAAAAAAAAAGTTAAAAGATTTCTAATTCTTTCATCCCTTGTTTACCATCAGAAGCAATTCTTACACTCCTCTATCTCTACTTGTGCTTTTATATTCTAAAACATTTAAATAAATAAAATATTGTTTTCATATCAAATTCATTTTGATAGAGTATTCTTTAACAGATACTTTAAAAAAACACAAAAAGCTTGAAAAGTATTAAACAAAATGCTTAATAGTGATTTGACATATTAGACAATGCAACATAATATTTACAACATATGTACACTGTACCTTATTCTAAAAGAGATTTGATTTGGAAGGCTTTAAATTATAGCATATTAATTTAAATACAAATTCACATAACTTCTATACTGAGAATAAAATTTTATAATATAAAGTAGGTATATATACTTGCAACATACAATTGGCTATCTTCTACCATTCTGGATTTTGTTATCTGAAATCAAAGCCTTCAAAACATGCAATCAACCATAAAAAGTGGGAGCACTTACTTAGGAGCAGAAGGACCCCTTGGCCATGTTCCATCTTCATTTTTCTGTTCTATCACTAACACCTGTAAATATGACACAATAGAAGAGTGTTTTTCCTTAAAAAGTTGAAGTTAAAATAGCTTTAGAAGATTAGCTGGATACACTAAGAAGCTAGAGTAAATCTGGAATTATTTAAAGGACAGAGTAGACTAGGTGAAGAGGTATTTGCATTTTGATGCCAAACCTGGGCAATATAAATAGAATATAAATTCCTTGAGTTTAGGGAATATGTTTTCTACTTCTTTTCTATTTGCAGGCTGTAACATAGTACTATGCAAAAAACCCCAGATGTTCAATAAATGGTCACAGTTGTTAAAAATACTGATGTATAATCTTGGCTATTATTACGCAAATCCTGAAAAACAGTGACACAGATAATTCCAAATTACAGATTATACATAATTTATTTGGGGCTTTAAAATTTGCCTTTATTTACATTATTACTATGTAAATTATAGAATCTTTTAATGTATAAATGATAGAGCCACATTTGTGAGAATCAGATTCAAGTTCCTTACTGCAGCATGGTTAAGGCAGAAAGCAACTCTAATAAATGTAAAGTACAGGGCAAGGCAGAGCTATGCTTTATTCTAAAATATAACAGAATCCTTCCTCTTATCTTCTTGTTTAAAAAAGGCTTTTTTCCAGTTTTTGCTATGTGTGAGTCTGTGCAAAGAAACTAAGCAAAAATAACTAAATAAGCAAAAGAAATTATGTGATAATGTCAATAAGAAGTTAATAACCAAATTTCCATGGGAGAAGTATAACATAAGAACATGCCTTGAAATAAATTCAAGGCATTACAAATTTGAATACATTCTAGATATTCACTTTCAACTCTTAAAGTTTCAATTTTGTAACCTACTCGACATACTCTTGGTAAAATACTTTTGTGGACTGAATGTTTCAGGCCATTTATAAGTTGGCATTTGGATCCTAACCATGTAAAATATAAGACTGTTTCAGAATACATACAACAAATGATAAAGATCTGATCAACAGAAAAATTCATGGAACCAGCTTGTTCAAAGAGTACACTAATTAAAATATTAAAGTTATCAGAAAGGGAGACAAACCATAAGAGACTCTCAATCTAGGGACACAAACTGAGGATTGCTGGAGGGAAGGTGGGTGGAGGGATGGGGTAAGTGGGTGATGGACATTGGGGAGGGTGTGTGTTGTAATGAGCACTGGGTATTACATAGGACTAATGAATCACAGACCTGTACCCCTGAAACGAATAATACATTATTTGTTAATTAACTGAATTTAAATAAAAAAGGAAAAACAAATTACTATTTCCTATATTCAAAGAACATGTATGAAGTATACATAGCATATAAAGAATAAGAACACTGTGTATTTACTACCCTAATCCCTCCCTAATCATATTCCTCATCCCTATCACAATTAATCATTCTCCTCAATTTTCTGATATCATTCTGATATAATCATATATTTATGTATTTTTGTAAAATTGAATTTAGTAAGTGATTTTTAACTGAAGAGTTTTCCATTACTGCAACTTATTAAGATACCTAGATATGAACTACATATATATAGAGAGAAAACATGCCTTGAAGTACATTTAAAGCATTACAAATTTGTGTGTGTGTATATACATACTTCATACTATGCATATATATGTGCATATATATAAACTTCATAGTCATTTGGAAGACAAATCAGTTACAAAATGAAAGACTTTAGTTACAAAGAATTTCAAAGTTATGCATTTAGTATCATTGTTTGTAGTGTGCTTTTTAATAGAAGGTCCTAAAACTGAAAAATCAAATAAATAAATAAAGTTGAACCATAACAATTTAATTCCTAATAGTATATATGTTAAAATTTCATGTTTTTACAATCACAGATATTAATATTGAAGGCCATCAGAAATGTTAATATTCACTCCTTTACTCAAATATTTTATTTTATTTATTTATTTTTTAAGATTTTTATTCATTTATTTGACAGAGAGAGAGACAGCAAGAGAGGGAACACAAGGCAAGGGGAGTGGGAGAGGGAGAAGCAGGCTCCCCTCTGAGCAGGGAGCCCGATGTGGGGCTCGATCCCAGGACCTTGAGATCATAACCTGAGCTGAAGGCAGTCGCTTAACCAACTGAGCCACCCAGGCGCCCAATATTTTATTTTCTGAATGAAGTTTTACTCATGGTTAAAACTTCCAAGATGAGAATTTTCTTAGAAAGTTTTCAAAATTAAATTAAATGTGTGTGTGTGTGCACACACACACTTAAGGGAAGAGAAAGAGATAAAGACCACCATTTTGGGAGGGAAACTCTTCAATAATGTATCTTTGTTTTATTTTCTGATGTTTCATTTTACTTTAATTTCAGTAAAAATTTTAAAAAGTCTAGGACAGGGGCACCTGGGTAGCTCAGTTGGTTAAGAGTCTGACTTTTGACTGAGGCTCAAGTCATGATCTCAGGGTTGTGAGACTGAGCCTTGAGATGGGCTTTGCACTCAGTGTGGAGTCTGCTGGAGATTTTCTTTCTCTCCCTCTGCCCCTCCCCCTGCTCGCTCTTGCTCTCTCTCTAAAATAAGTAAATAGATCTTAAAAAAAAAAGTTCAGGATAATGTTTAGTTCATTTATCATCAGTCAGAAAATAACTTGCAAAATCTGGAAAATTTAAAGCATGTTCTTTGAAACATTCTTATTTTGAAAGATCAAATGTTAGTAAGGATATTTAACCTTCTTCTTATTAAAATAATATACTGTCACCTGTAATCTGATAAATGCATTCCTATCAAGAACATCAAATTACTTAAATTCTCTAAGCCTCAGTTTTCTAATGCACATGATGGATAGAATAAAAACCATTTCATAGGCTCAATCACTGAAAAGTTTTAAAGAAATGATTCTATGTATTCCAAACTGTACTCCTGGAACTATCTCAAGACCTACAGATGGTAACTAAGGAGTGAAAGAGGGAACTGGCTGGCTAAGGAGCGGGGTGTTACCTAACCATGAGAGTTCCGAGTTCCTTACTCCAGCTTTAATCAGGTTAGCTCAAATTTTGATTATAATACATAGTACTTTTTGCAAGATTTCATTTAAGACTATAATAGCTAAAATAAGTCTGAAAATCACTGTTTTTATTTTTTTTAAAGATTTTATTTATTTATCAGAGAGAGAGAGAGAGCACAAGCAGGGGAACAGCAGCAGAGAGAGAAGCAGGCTCCCCGCCGAGCAAGAAGCCTGATGCGGAACTTGATCCCAGGAGCCTGGGATCATGACCTGAGCCGAAGGCAGCCACTTAACCGACTGAGCCACCCAGGTGTCCCATGAAAATCACTGTTTTTATAGCCTATTACGATACATGACATATGGCAGACATTTACTAAAAATTAATTTCCTCAGTTGTTCTGGGTTTTTTTCACAACTTGTATCATAATACTGATGTCAATAATAATTTTTTTAAAGATTTTATGTATTTGAGAGAGAGAGAGAGAGAATGAGAGAGAAAGAGACAGGGGAAGGGGCAGAGGAAGAAGGACAAGCAGATTCCCCACTGAGCAGGTAGCCAGATGCAGGGCTCGATACCGGACCCTGAGATCATGACCTGGGCTGAAGTCAGATGCTTAACTAACTGGGCCACCCAGGTGCTCCTGTCAATAACTACTTTTAATAAAACAGAACAAAATAAAAATCTCCATATATCAGAGGACCAGGCTGTGTTAGATACTAAAAATAAAAACAAAAATAAATAGACACGAAGTCCTAAAACAAGGAACTCAAAGTCTAGTGGAAAAGCTCAACGTATAAATAAAGTACATAATGAATGTCACAAAAGACATATACATAAATCATTATGAAGTTAAGGGAGTAATTTTTTCCCCAAAGTAGAAAACTCCTTATGCCTCAAATACATATTGAGAAAAACAGATCAGGAAAGGCTGAAGAGATGAGGTGACATTTGAGGCTGGAATCTGAAGAATGAAGAATGAACAATCTGATCTGATTAGACTACATGATAGAATGGAGTGGTTAATTTGAATATTTTGATGTTTAAAAGGACTTTTTGCTGGAAGGATGCAGGCACTGGGAAGAAGGGTACAACAGGCAGATGGAATAACACAGATGAAAGCACAGGAGTTGGGAATAGCATAGTATGCTTAGGGAACTATAAGCAGTTCAGTTTGGTATTGTATGAATCATTGTATAAATCATGAGGCAAGGATAATCTAAAGATGCTGGAAGACTAGCCACAAGGTCAAACCTTGACTTACATGCTGTGTTAAGGTGCCTGGACTTTATTCTACAATTGTTAGGGAACCCAGGAAAGGTTTACAATAAAGAAACATCGAGGTTTACATTTTAGAAAGAGTGTTCTAACAGAAATATGGAAGACTGAGAATGGACATACAAAAGACTAGACACAGAGGGACCTGTTAAGACACTACTGAAAGACAGGGCTGAGAATGGAATAGATTAATTCAAGAAATATTTAGAGGGTAGAATCAGTAGGACTTGCTGAGTATGTCTAAATGTCTTCATTTCTTAACACATTCATTTCTTTGGATTATATTATAAAGAAAGACCAAATTGGAGGTTGATACCTTACCAGGGCCTGGCAAAGTACAGTTCACTTAGCTCACTGACTGCTTTTGTAAATGAAGCCTGTTGTTTACATATCGTCCATGACTTTTGTGTTACTACAGTGGAAGAGTTGTAGTTGTAACAGAGACCATACAGGCTACAGAACCAAAAATATTTACTATTTGATTCCTTATAGAAAGTTTGCAGACCCATATTATTATATCAGCTGTTTTATTGATGGAAAATAATTTCTTTTTAAAAAGTAGGTTATTCTCAAGCTCAAGGAGGGAAGTAAAATTTACTGCTAGTGATCAACAGGCATAGGGAAGAGATGAGTTAGAAAGACGAAGCCAGAGACAGTAGAACCCATTATAGATTGTCAAGATATTAATAAAGTTTGTGACTCCAAAAAGCTTCATGTATAGTATGCTTAAAATAAACAGTACTGCTAAACAATACCTGTCCTTGGTATAAACCAGCATCCTGAATGGTGCTGTCTGGTTTATTCAGTGGTTCAAATGTATTACTCATGTATTTGTTCCACAATCTGGTCTCCTTTTCATCTGGAATACTGAAGATTTTTCTTATTTCCTTTTCAATTGTATCTAGATTTAAGGAGGAAAGATATATAAACATAATAAATATTTTAAAATATACCACACATAGCTAAGTGCTCACTAGCATAAAAATCCTAAATTTAAAATACTGATATAATAGCAAGAATAGATGAACAAATATGTAGGACATATATAAAGAACAATAAAGACAACCCAGTGTGCTTTTTAGGAACAAAATGGTAATTATAACTCTGACAGATAATTACTTGGGGAAACTAAGATCTCTCAAGGGAGAAGAGTTCAATCACATAACACCACAGTATAATTTATATTATACAGGATGACCTTTAACTATTTACACACTATAAATTCAATATATCTTCTGATGATATGTTTATGATTTAGAAAAAGTATGAGTCAGAGATGCTGTAGATAGAAAATATTTTTAACTGTAATACAACCAATTTTAGGTTATTTACAGTTTGAATAGTTAACTAAAATTAAATAGAATATATGGACACAAAGGAAAGTGCCTTCTTTGAAGGGATATATGTATTGGTAAAAATTTGTTTTCACAGTAAAACTATATATTTTCCTTATTTCTAAATCATTTATGTGAGTGGAAAAGCCTTTTTTAAACTGGAGCAGCTTAACTTGCTATAAAATAAGACACAGGAGTACCCACATATTGGAGAATAGAGATGTAATTAAGTTTCAGTGCCACAAAGTTAAATGAATCTTTAAAACATGAAAAAGAGATATTAGAAAATATTATTAAATCTGCTGAATTCTGGTTAATAACTTGCCTGCCTATCTTAGACTCAAGAAAACAGTAAAACACCTAATGACATATGAAGAATTATAAAATACATTTTAGAATACCTGGTTAGTTTTGGAAAGAAACATTAAAATACTAAACCTAATAATACATGTTCTCTGAAGAAATCCTACATCATGAAATCCTACATCATTAAATTTAGTCTAATAATACTGTTTATGCCCTATTTAGCAGCTGAAGTTCTTTAATAGTCATAGTCAATGAGATTTTCATTAAGGTATTAAATAAATAGGAAATCTTAAGGTGGATCTGAAAACTTAAGAGCAAATTAGCCAGAATATTTAAATAATTACATAAAATATACTAACAGTACTGCTTTCTATTTTGGTGGATTTTTTTTGTTCTTTTTATTGAAGTGTAAATGCACAGGTCATTAGTATATAATGATAAATTTCCAAAGTGGACACACCCACATAACCAGCACACAGATCAAGATACAGAACATTATGTAGGAAGGAGGCTAGAGGAAGAAGCTGAGGAAGGGAGGTCATTTTAGTCTTTCTAATAAAAATGAGTACTTTTTTCCTGATTGCATAAATAATTCTTGCTCATTGCAAAAATTTAGAAAATATAAATAAAATGTCTATAGAGAGAGCCACTGTTAATATTTGTTTATTTCTTCTTTCAGACACTTATCTATTAATATACACAGATATTTACATATGTAATACAATACATACAGACATGGGAATTTCCTCTTCATTGAGTTTTGTAAACCACTCACACATTGGGGAAGAATATTACAGGGAGAAGAAAGGAGTGCAAAAGGCCCTGAGGTGGGAATGTATCTGGCCTGTTTTAGAACAGCATGGTGTACCAATGTGGCTGAAGTGAAATGAGCAAGGTAGAAATGAGACCTTTATATAGACTCTTGTGAGCTATGAAAGTATTGCTTTATCTGAGTAATAAGAGAAGCAACTGAGTTTTGAGAAGTGGAGAGAAGTGGAATGATTTAACTCACATTTTTGCTGCTAGTGGAAAACTGCAGGATGTTAAGGGTAGGAGACTAGGCTTCTGCAGCGATCAAAACTAAGGGAGAAGCAATGTTAAGTGGTTAGACTGAGAACAGATTTTGAAGAACTGCTTAGAAGATATGCTGCTAGATTACACGCAGGGTGAGAAAAAGAGAATCTGAATGATACCAAGGTTTTTAGCCTGAGCAATTGAAAGAATACAAGTGGTGATCACTCAGATGGGGAAGAATGACAGGCAGCAGGTTTCTGGAGGAGGAAGGACAGACTTTAGTTTCATACATGTTATATCTTGAGATTCCTATCAGACAGAAGTGAAGCTATGGAATGACTGAAACTGGAATTAAGGGAGAATTCTGGGCAGGAGATATAAATTCATTCAAAAGATATCAATATGCAGAAAGCAAAAAGCTAGGGCACCGAAGGAAATCACCAAAGAAAAGAGGAAATTAAAGGACTACGCATGGCAACACCTTGATGTTTTGAGATCAGGAATATGAAGAGGATGTTTTCAGATTTTCTGAGAAGATGCAGGCAGTGAAAACTTGTGCCATGGAAGCCAGAAATTAAAGGACTACGCATGGCAACACCCTGATGTTTTGAGATCAGGAATATGAAGAGGATGTTTTCAGATTTTCTGAGAAGATGCAGGCAGTGAAAACTTGTGCCATGGAAGCCACGTAAATAGAAGTTATTTCTAGATGGAAAAGTGAGTATGTTAATTTTTGCTGGCAGGTTAAGAAAATGGAAGACTGAAATTACCATTAGATTTATCAATGTGGAAGTAATTAGAAACCATCATAGAAGCAGTGCCAAGGAAGTGGCAGGTTTGGATGTCTGATGTAGCAGGGTCAAGCGAGAATGCGAGCAGAGTAAATGGTAGCCAGAAAGCAGGATGTTTAAATTGAGATCTGCCAGGTGCAGTTATAGATAATGACAGGCTAGGGTATAGCTAGGGAATTGATGCCTGAAGTTGGATACAGATTAAGATCACTTGAGTTGAGAATCTCAAAGTATTGAGAGTGTGTGTAGATTTTTCCATATATGAATCTGATTCCATTAGGCAGTTAATGAAAAGCTTACAGAGTTAGAAAAATATTATTCATATAATAAAATTAAATTGTTGTGACAAAATTTCTAGTAAGAATATTTAATAAGTTAAGCAATTCTATTAATAAATTTTACATAAAGTATTTTTCAATAAGTTTTACAACAAAATTATTATTATTATTATTATTTTTTTTTTTTAAAGATTTTATTTATTTATTTGAGAGAGAGAGAATGAGAGAGAGCACATGAGAGGGGGGAGGGTCAGAGGGAGAGGCAGACTCCCCGCCGAGCAGGGAGCCCGATGCGGGACTCGATCCCGGGACTCCAGGATCATGACCTGAGCCGAAGGCAGTCGCTCAACCAACTGAGCCACCCAGGCGCCCCAACAAAAATTATTTTTTTAGTGTATCCTTAAAGAAAAAATAAAAAAACAAATTTTATATTTCTAATTGGAAGATGTTCTATACCCAAGTATGTCAATTTAAGGAGAGAAATAAGATATTTTGGCTCTGAATGAAGTTAATTATTTAGATCCTGCCTATGGCAACTATAAAGTCAGTGTAGGTAGTATTAGCTGAAAATGAGACATTTTATTAACTTGGCAAAACAGAAAACAGGTACTTCTACTTCTTAATTCTATTTATACAACATATAGCTATGTTTTATGTATGTATTTGGATCATTTTTAATTAAGATGAGACCACAAGGGAAAAATATACATCCCATATCTCCTATTATCCCAATATTTTATTATTTCAACAGTCACTTCCTTTAGAAAAACAAAATCAGCCCAATTAACTTTTGCACAGATTGTATAAGGCGGCAACTAAGAGATGAGACTGTGTGTTCAAATACGGACTCTTTCACTTGGAACAAGGGTGAACCTAAGTAGTTATTTAACCTTCCTAAGTCTCGACTTCATCCCCTAACCAAAGAGGATACAGTATTGTTGAGGTTTAAATAAGAAGCTTCCTAAGAAGTGCCAAAAACATAGTAAGTATTCCACAATGGCTAACTACTATGATAACTATAATCATGAAGTCTCTAAAATTCTCAGTTTAATTTTAGCAAAAACTTTTGTTTAGAAAGCAAACTTGCTCTAATATAGTCAGACTCTTAAAAACTAAGACCTACAGTAAGAAATTGTGACCCAATATACACATATGTGTTGCCATTTTCTATTCTGATATTTTTCATTCCATTCTTTTACTCCCAAAATATGTAATGACCACCCATAGTCTTGACAAACATTGCTCTAATCTAAAGTAAGAAACTTTAGGCTATATAAAAATTCAGTTCATTTACAATTTTAAGGCATATATACAATGTATGTAGCTTTTTAAAGTATTAGTAAATTTAAACTATGCTGATTAAAATCTTTGCAAATTATAAACTTTTTGAAGCAGAGATTCTTTGACAGATTCTTACATAGTACTTAATAGAACTCCATAATGCTCGTACGGAATTCAGAAATTAAACCAGCTGATCTTCATGAGTTAAAAATATTATTCAGTGAACTAATGTTCTAAAATAAGATTTCTGATTGTCTCATATTTATACATAATTTTTCTACAGAAATTAGGTAAGGAGAAAAGGAAATATCTAACTTTTAAAATAACTAGAAAACATTATCTGTATGAAGTATTTTAAGAAGTAGCTTCTCATTTATATTCCAATCAGCTGAACATTTCAGACATTAGTTTTTGATTTAATTTTAACAGACTACCCTTATTGGACAGATGATTCTTATTGTGCATACTTTAATATCATGATTAGTGCAGTTCTATACATACTGAAAACTTTCAGTTTTTAGAATGTAGAAACGTTTTATGTTCCTGAATATGTTCCACAAACCTAGAAATTCTATTAATATAATAAAATGACATTTATATACGGAATTCTTATTATTTTAAGCATTCATTTTAGAAAGATGAGTTTACTAAACAGCATTGCAAACTTATAAATGTTCTAGGTAAATAAAGAGGGGGAAAACAAATTCATACATAATATTCTATTTGGTAAAAACATGAGGATTAATCAAGCACTGGGTACTGAAGAATGATGATGTTATTTCATGAAAAATATAGGTTTGTTAGTATCTTCTGCTGTGAAATGGGTAAGTGGTAAAAGTCAAATATATTTGTGAAAGTCAAAAGTAAATATTTTTAGGGGCGCCTGGGTGGCTCAGTTGGTTAAGCGACTGCCTTCGGCTCAGGTCATGATCCTGGAGTCACGGGATCGAGTCCCGCATCGGGCTCCCTGCTTGGCAGGGAGCCTGCTTCTCCCTCTGACCCTCCCCCCTCTCATGTGCTCTCTGTCTCTCTCATTCTTTCGGTCTCAAATAAATAAATAAAATCTTAAAAAAAAAAAAAAGTAAATATTTTTATTTACTTTTAACCAAAGTATACATAACGAGTGGTTTTAACAAAGCAAGCTATACATAAATTTGCTAATCTTTTTCTTGCTGAGAAGTTCTGCATTAACTGCTATGTCTCCACTGTTTACATTTTCCAACAAGATCAATGTTATTACCACTAATCTTGTTTTCCAATAACTTTACTTGAAAATAAATAACTTTTATAATTTTTATTTTGAGCTGTGATTTATCAAAAAATACTGTAATTCTGTTATTAAATCCATAATCATTTATTTTAAAAACATCTCATTCAACATTTTTTTTTTTAAAGATTTTATTTATTTATTTATTTGTCAGAGAGAGAGAGAGAGAGAGTGAGTATGGGCAGGGGGAGAAAAGAAGGGAGAAGCAGGCTCCCCACCGAGCAGGGAGCCCGATGCGGGATTCGATCCCAGGACCCTGGGATCATGACCTGAGCCAAAGGCAGCCGCTTAACCGACTGAACCACCCAGGCATCCTCATTCAACACGTTCTTGATCTTAAATTAAAATGTGGCTTTTAAATACAAAAAACCCCCACATTTCAATATGCACTTAGATGTGTAGATACATAAATATATAAGTATATGTAGATCTATAAATATACAGTGGGAGTTAGGTACATTTGTATTTGAGACTATAATTTCCTAACCTACTACTCATTGTTAAAAAAGAAAAAAATCAATTTGTCATAAAAATGCTAAGCCTAGGGCGCCTGGGTGGCTCAGTTGGTTAAGCGACTGCCTTCGGCTCAGGTCATGATCCTGGAGTCCCGGGATCGAGTCCCACATCAGGCTCCCTGTTCAGCAGGGAGTCTGCTTCTCCCTCTGACCCTCCTCCCTCCCTCTCATGCTCTCTGTCTCTCATTCTCTCTCTCGCAAATAAATAAAAAATTAAAAAAAAAAAAATGCTAAGCCTACTGCCTTATCTAAGTAGCTACTTAATTTGCATTCAGAGCCCAGAGAATAAACAGGAAAAAGGGAAATAAAAAGTTTGTCATTTTCCATGCTAAGAAGGGGAAACATTATCATGATGATGATGATGGAGGATATCTATATTACATTACATGAAAAGTTTTTATTTAATCAAGTTTTTATTTTTACTTACAGTTCTACTTTATACTCAGGTTACAAACATATGTATTTTTTCAAATGCTCAACAATAATTTGATTTTTTTTAAAAAGTAAAATGGCACAAATAAACTCATCTAATAATGTAAAGTAGATCTAGACATGATAAATAATTCAACTCTAGGCTAAGATATATTGATTGCATCAGCGATGGAAATCTGTAATGTTTAAGTATAAAGCCTTAAAAAGGTTATCATCCTAGTGGCATATAAGAAATAGAATTACAACTAAATTTCTAATAGCAATGGTTCAACAAAGAGGATCTTGCATTACCTATTGTGTCAGCTTTGCTAAATCTTCGAGTTACGACATTGTTCATGTTTCCATTTTCACAGAGCTTCAATTCTGTGAGATATACTTCTACTTTGCAGTGCTTTACAAACATACCCTGTTCAACCACCTAAAAACCAGAACAAATCAGTGTTAGCTATAGCTCAATATATTTCTCTAAAGGCTTTAGAAAAAAACTGCAGCTCTCCAAAAAAAAAAAAAAAAAAAACTATTAAAAACTGTTAATATGAAATAAGAGATACTAAATAGTTGAAAAAGCCAGAAACATATTTGGAATATTTAACAGACTATGAATAATCATATTAAACATTAACAGACAGTTTGGAAAGGCATTCTACTCATCTATGAAGATATTCTGGTATACTATAAATAATTAATTCATTCAGTATTTATAATAAGAAAGTTTACCCCCAATGTAAATACAGTTCTGATTAATGATCTAGACCTACTGCTAGCTTTTAGTACTTGATCCCAAGAAGAAAACCTTTAAAAATGATAAATTTTATAAAACTTCAGTTAGCAACAGCTAACTCTGTATGTTAAATCACTCTATATGTTAAAATAAATCTTTTAAAATAACTCCACAAATTACTGCTGCCAAAATACTCAGCTATGGCCTGTAACTGATATGTTAGTTTTCCATCCTAAGATGACTTTGTTTGACCTTTAAATACACTCTTAGTAATTCTATGCAACGAATGGAAAAAAAAAAAAAAGCTGCTAAACATGCAAGCAACAAAGCAGGAAAAGAGAAAATATGTATATATTAGGGTCACCTTTTAAATAAGTATATTTCCTTTTGATCTTCTAAAGGTTAACTGTAGGATTTCAGTCATGAATACTGCTTCTGAAAATAGTAATCAGCCTGATATGTGATACATTAGACAAATATGGCTACAGGGAAGCTCCAAATAACTGCTGTAACTCACAAGCTTAGCATCAGTTCAGTAAAGGCCTTAGAATTTGTCTTTCACTTGCAGGGAAATTGTTTTAGCTCAAAAAATTCAAATGTAGGTTAGCTAATATTTAATGTTGAATCTAACACTAATTTTTATAATACTTCGTCATTTATATTCTCTTATTTATACTTGCTATATTCACATTTCTAAAACAGGCAACAGCCTGCACCTCTCTCTTAATTAATTTTACAAACTAATATATAAATTGTCTCTTAACTAATGAAACTTGTTTTAAATTTCTTATGCTTATTTATTTTGAGGTTAAGAATGTGGCAAAAGATTCTGTATCATTTAATTTTACAAGATTACATGTAGCTATATTTAAGTAGAAAAACCAGAAATCAAATATTCCTATCAATCAGAAATTTTTGCTCTGGGACTTAATATCTGAGTAAAAATCCTAAAATAATATTAATACTAATCAATAGTAGGTTGCTAAAACTGAGGTGCTGACAGGCCTCATTTTTAGGGGGGAAAAAAAGGAATGATCAACAACAAAGCAAGTAATGGTATAACAAAACAGGATAAAGTAACAAAACAGGATAAAATAACAAAAAAGAAAATCCCTCATTATTATTTATATTGATATATTTTTCTAAATAAGCACAGTTTTAAAAAATGAGGATTAATTTTCATAACACCAATAGATATTTTCCTGGAAAAAAAATCTAATGATTTAACTGTTAGAAAGTCATTATAAACAATGAAAACAAAACACCAAGATTATTTCAAAATCCACTTTATTGGGTTTCAGGATTTTTCTCACCATTTTTTTCTTCTCTCCAACAATATCTTATATTGTTACAACCCCCATCATCAGTACTCTAAATACTATTATGTTCATAAGACATTTTACTACTTCCAAAAGCAGTGTATTAAAAAGCTGGGTTTTTTTTAAAGAAAATATGAGTTTGTCCTCCCCAACTATTTTTATTTGAAAGAACCATACTATATGAATAATTAAAGCTTGAATACAGTAGCTCCACAGCAGAGAAAAGTAATTAGCATTTTTATGTATTAGTGTTATTATGGTTGTATGTAGGTTATTTATTTATATAACATCTTCTCTATATTTGTTTATATTAAGTCTACTACTTCATTAAAAATGCACTAAAAATAACCATTTAAAATAATGAAGACTGTGTAACAGGAAGAAACAGGCTTATAAAAAACAAGGTACAAAGTTATACTTACCTAATTATTATGACCATTAAAATACACATTTGAAATAAGACTGGATAGAGGGGAGGGGGGTGGGGGGATGGGTTAGCCTGGTGATGGGTATTAAAGAGGGCACATACTGCATGGAGCACTGGGTGTTATATGCAAACAATGAATCATGGAACACTACATCAAGAACTAATGATGTAATGTATGGTGATTAACATAAAATTAAAAAAAAGACTGGAACATGAATATTCAGAAATAATAGTTATGTTTCAGAAGTACAGGTGACCGCCAAAATATTTTTTCTAAGTGAACTATAACAAAGAGCAAGTATAAGATGAAATCTGGCTTCCTGTCCAAAATTTAAAACTTATGGCTAAATAAAAATAGTTCCATTAATTGACGGCCACAATGAAGGTAAAATCTCTTTACAAATTAGTGCAGGAAATACAAATTTATATTGAATTAAAATAAATATAATTTGTTCATTTTGCTGCAAATATTAGACAGCATTTTGTAGAAAGTCATGAAATATATTGATAAACCTAATGTACTCTTTAAATTGGCATATGAAAGTTTCACAGAAACTTTACTTAATTCCAAGTGCTTACTTCTTCCCCTTTGGAAACAGAAAGTTACTTCTAAAGAAATCCGGTACTCAAACAATTTGATGACATGGTCTAATCAGACACATTTACTATTTTCGAGGAGGTAGCTACATTTGTTTTTGTAGCACTTACTGAGTACTATACTTACTAGTGGTAAAAAATAGACAAGTAGAGAAGTATAACTCAACTATGAAATCATAGGTGTTAATACATAACAAATTCTACATATAATATTCTATCCACAAATATTTCAGGATATATTTCTTCAAAAACAAGGACTCAAGAACCTTAACACCACATCACACCTAACAAAAATAAAACTAATCCCTTAATAGCAAATATCCAGCCAATATTCAAATTGTCCCCATCTCATTTTTATTGAATCAGGATCCAAATAAAGCCCATGCACTGTAATTGACTGATAAATCTCTAAAATGTCATTTAACTGAAAAGTTCACCATCTTTTTATTCTCGTAATTTTTAGTAAGACTACTTCATACGTAGTGAGATATTCTAAATAAGGTGCAAATAATATCTAGTTGCCCTTCTTTTTGTGATGTTGGTAGGCATTAATTAACCAGGGCCAAGATCAGGGATGGGCCAACTATGACCCACAGGCTACATTCAACTCGCCATCTATTTTTGTAGATAACATTTTACTAGAACATAGTCATGTCCATTCATTTATATATCATTTATGGCTGCACCCAAAACAGCAGAGACGAATACTTTCCACAGAGACTACCCTGGCTCATAAATATTTACTATCTGGCCCTTCACAGAAAAAGTTTGGTGACCCCCCCTCCAAACCCCCTGGGCATTATTTTATTTTGATCAGTCTTGCCAGGACCCGTGTTTTATTTTACTGGTCTAACTTCACTGTTTTTTGAGTCAACTTTGTTCATTTAATGTAGGTTTTTTCTATTTTATTAATGTCTATTTTTTTTGTTTTTAATTTTATTATATTATGTTACTCACCATACATCATTAGTTTTTGATGTAGTGATCCACGATCCATTGTTTTCGTATAACACCCAGTGCTCCATGCAGTACGTGCCCTCCTTTTTTAGTATATGTGCTGCCGAAGCGAGCACAAGTACGTGCCCTCCTTAATACCCATCACCAGGCTAACCAATCCCCCCTCCCCCCTAAAACCCTCTTTGTTTCTCAATTGTCTATTTTTTTATTATTATTTCTTGATTAGGCTTAATTTCCTTTTCTTCTCTTAACTTGCTGAGACAATACATTTTGACTTTCTTCTTTTCTAATATACACATTTAAGCTATCACATTCCTTGTAAGAATGGCTTTAGTCACTTTTATATCGTATTGTTATCATTGTTTAAAACGTTTAATTTTATTTTGTATTTCTTCTTTGACCTAAGGATTACTTTAGAAGTATATTATTCCATTTCTAGATAGCTAGGAGACAATCTTGTTACCTTGTTGTTACTGACTTCTAAATTCCACTGGGGACAGAAAATACACTGAATAATTTCTATCATTAGAAATATAGTGGAATTTGCTTGATGGCCCAGCAAATGGTCAATTTTGGTAAAAATTCCACTTAAGAAGAATTTGTATTCTGCATTTACTAAGTGCAATGTATGTCAATTAGGTCATGCTGCTTAATCATGTTGTTCAAATCTGCTTCCAAGCTCAATCATGTGGTTGTTGGCAGTCCTCAGATCCTCTCCAGCTGTTGGCAGAGAATTTAGCTCCTTATTATGTGAGTGCCTCTATAGGCTGCCTATAGGCAATAAGTCACAGTCCCTCCCCACAACATGTAAAATACATGAACTCCCTGCAAAGCCCCCTTAGTATCATCCCATTATTACATCAACTCCAAGTCAGAAACTTGTCATTTATATCAGGTCAGGTGCAGATAAGGATCCTTAGGTATAGTTTCTTAAGCATTTTGAGTATAGTTCCTCTTTATCTATAATTCTGTGAACTTCAAGGTAAGTTTTCTGCCCCACATACACCCAAAATAAAATGGTGGGGCATGCAGAAGATAATTTTTTTTAGATACTCCTGTTAAAAGGAGCCCCGGGGAAAGAGGAACAAAGGAGTCAATGGTCCATAGAAATTCTGAAATCCACCTGGGCAAATACTTAAAATTCCTTGATTAGGACCTATTCTGCCCTTACCTGAAAATGAATCTTCACAACACTTGATTCTGCTTCCTGGGTCATAATTTTTCTTAAAAGTTAGCACATGTTTGCAGTTGAGTAAATAGTCTGACACCTGCTTGTAGGAGTCTAGGAGACTTCTTTGATTTTACACTGTCTCTGTAGTCCAAGATGGTAGTGCTTCTTGAAAACATCATAGGTCTCCAGTGGATCTCACTGGAGTCTCATTCCATTAGACAAAAAGTCACATCCACAAATGTCCTCTAGATATGTCCTATCTTGGGTTTATGCTGAGAAGACTGAAGGGCAACACTCTTAAGCTTCTTAGAAGCCCTAGAGTTCTTAGAAGCAACATATTGAAAGGAAGTGTAAAGTATACCCTGAAATTCTTTAAAGGGTTTTTTGTCTGAACAGTATTGTGAGGCACCACGTTTGATTTTTCTGAGGTCTTGAAGAATTTTACAGTCGTACCTGTGGCTTTTTTTGGTCATGCTTTCCTGACAGTGCCTTGAGTTTCATCTTTGCTTGGGAACATATCATAGTTTCAGCATTGTCTGTCATCTGAGAGGGGCCAGAAATTCTCAAAACTAGTAAGTCTTGGCTCCTTTTTAACAGCCCTTTCTTTAGTTTCTCTCTCCCTTCTTACATCCGATTATATGCAGGCACAAGAAAAACCAGGCAGTTCTGGAAGATCATTCAGCTTACCAGATATATTTTCTACCTTTCAATTTACTGCAGTTGACATGTTGCTAAACTTTCTGCGACCTTATAACAAAGATCACTTTCTTATGGGTTCCTATAAGATTTTCTTCACTTTCCTGTAAGTCCTCACTGGCAGCCTCCTTAAAGTCTAAAATTCTACTAACAATTTATTCAAGGCACCTTAGGCTTTCATTAATACTCTTGCAGGTTCTTACAGCTTCTACTCCCTGCCTGGTTCCAAAGCCACCACCACAGTTCAAATCTTGTAAAGGCAACACACTATTTCCAGGTACCAAATTAGTTATCAGTTTTCTGTTGCTGTATACTAAATCACCCCCAAACTCAGAGCGACTTAACAGAATAAACATTATTTTACATAGTTCCTGAGGGTCAAGAATCTGGAGCAGCTTAGCTGGGTTGTTCTGGCTTGGGGTCTCCTGAACTGTCAAGCTGTGGGCTGGGGTTTCAATTATCTGAAAGCTGAAATGAGACTGGAGGATTCATTTCCAAGCTCACTCACATGGTTGTTAGCAGGCCTCCATTTCTCTCTACTGGTCAGAGATCTCAGTTCCTTACCATGTGAGCCCCGCTACAGGCTGCCTGAGTACGCAGCTGAAGTCCCCAGGCTGAGAAATGAGAGAGAGCAAGAGGGCGTGTGCACCCAAGTGTGAGCCAAGGTGTCTTTTATAATCTGATCTCTTCTATTTTAATGAGGTACAACTGACATATAACATATTAGTTTCAGTTGTAAAACATAATGATTCAATATTTGTCTATGTTCTGAAATGATCACCACAATAGGTTTAGTTAACGTCCACCATCCTATTACAAATTTTTTTTTCTTGTGATGAGAACATTTAAGATCTACTTACTCTTAGCCACTTTCAAAAATGCAATACAGTATTATTAACTATAATCACCATGCTATATATTTACACCCCCATGACTTACCTATTTTATAACTGCAAGTTTGTACCTTTTAACTCCCTTGACCCTAAAATCTAATCTTGAAAGTGATATACCTATTATAACTTCTGCTATATGTTGCTGGCCACAGGTGACTACCCAAGGATTAGCTCACTGGAGGTTACCAAGGAGGCTACTATCTTAACTTATATGCAAATATTACATATTTTAAATTTATGCATATATTCATCTCAATAAGAAATTACTACCATTTTAAATAGTCTGCCTTAACACATTTATTCACAATATTTACTGCTGTCAATCTACATTTTCTCCTGTCTCCAAGCTTCCATATGGAATAATTTCCTTCCATTCTAAAGACTGTTTTGTATTTCCTTTAGTGCAGTTCTGCTAGTAACAAATTCTATCAATTTGTTTATCTGAAAATAGCTTTTTTCACCACCTGAAGGATCCTTTTCTGAAGAATCCTTTCCTTGCTTATAGCATTCTAAGTTGGCAGTTACTTTTCTTTCATCATGTTGAAGATGGTTGGTTATTTTTCAGCTTTCATTTCTCTTCAGAAATCATTTGTTTATTCTTACTTTGAAGGTAATAGACTTTTTTTTGGGCTACTATTAGGAATATCTTTTTGCCTTTGCTTTTGAATAATTTTATTGGGTATAGTTTTGTTCGTATTTATTTTTTTAGCACGGGTTTCACAGCATTTTTTTTTTTTAAGATTTTATTTATTTATTTGACAGAGAGAGACACAGCAAGAGAGGGAACACAAGCAGGGGGAGTAGGAGAGGGAGAAGCAGGCTCCCCGCTGAGTAGGGAGCCCAACGCGGGGCTCAATCCCAGGACCCTGGGATCATGACCTGAGCCGAAGGCAGACGCTTAACGACTGAGCCACCCAGGTGCTCCTTCACAGCATTTCTTGATTCTATATAGCATGTCACCTTTCATCAGTTTCAGAAAATTCTCAGCTGTTAACTCCTGTGTTATTTCTACCCTATTCTGACTTTCCTCTCCTTCTAAGAGCCCGCTTACATGTATACTAAAATTATGCCCTGTGCTCCAAGTGTCTTTGCTTATTTCTATGCATTCCATCCTTCAGTCTCTCTAAGTTTTAGTCTGTATATTTTCTACTGATGTTAGTTTACAAATTTTCTCTGTGGCTCTATTTAGTGTTCTAAAACTCAAACACTGAGTATTTACTTCTTAATTTTTTCATATTATTTTAGAATTATAGAATTATATTTGGATCTTAATAGTTCTGGAATTATATTTGGTTCTTAACAGTTCTGTCCTTCCACTGTCTTATTTTTTTAAAGATAATAAGCACAGTATTTTAAAGTTTCTGTCTGGTAACTCCACTATCTGGATTCCTTATGGGTCTGTTTCTACTGTCTATTGCTTCTCTTGGATTTTGGTTCCACTGTATTTCTTTTTCATTTATGTTTATTTTTGCCCGTTTTGTTGTTGTTTTAACTGAGTGCCTGACACTATAAGCAAAATATTTTAGAGATTTGAGGCCCAGGGAGATGGTTAACTACTTTGTTCTGCATGACGTCTACCAATCTTAGGTTCCTCAATTCAATCAGAGATTAGTAAAATTCAAAGTTGGGCTTCAGACCCTTAAAAAAACGTCATTCTTTAAGTAAATTTCATTGTCATAAGAGTCACATGGGGGCAAAGTAAAGGTGGAAATTCCCAGACTTACTAATTTAATTTGGGAGGAAGACACATCTTAATAAAAACTCTGGTTAATTTTATGCACACTAAAGCTTAAATATTATCTTACAGGTTGAATAAATTCAAACTATCTTATTAAAAATAAATGGATGGCCTCCTAACAGAGAAACTTTTTTTCTACCTGTATGAAATTTTCATGATTTTTATTTATTTACTTATTTATTTACTTATTTTAATTTGCTATTAGACACAGATTTTAAGAAATTCCAAAACGGCCTCTTTCAAAAAGTAATGCCAATGAAGTTATTATTATTAGTTGGTCTGCTTACCATACCAAATACTTGTATTGTATAATATGCTACCTTTATTAAGTTTTTTTTTTTTTTTTTAAGATTTTTTATTTATTTGCGAGAGAGAGAATGAGAGAGAGCATGAGAGGGAGGAGGGTCAGAGGGAGAAGCAGACTCCCTGCTGAGCAGGGAGCCCAATGTGGGACTCGATCCCGGGACTCCAGGATCATGACCTGAGCCGAAGGCAGTCGCCTAACCAACTGAGCCACCCAGGCGCCCAGAAAAAAGATAAGTTTATCATTAAAGTTAAAGTAACACAGGTTAGCATATTTGAAGATATTCCAGGAACAGATTTTCCTTTAACCCAGGAATAACTTCTTCTTCTAAACAGTTTTAGAGCTAAACAATCTACCCTTCAACTGATCAAAACACTCAATTCTCTAGCAAATACAGATAAAACAACAGGTCATTTTATGTGTATAAGGCTAGAATTCCTAAAAGACAGAAATCCTAATTTTGAAATAGCTATAAGAGAAGGCTGAGTGAAGTTAAGGGTCTAAACTAAAATGAACTAGGGCGCCTGCATGGCTCAGTTGGTTAAGCATCTGCCTTCGGCTCAGGCCACGATCCCAGGGTCCTGGGATCGAGTCCAGTATTAGGCTCCCTACTCAGCGGGGAAGTCTGCTTCTCCTTCTCCCTCCGCCCTTCCCCCCTGCTCGTGTTCTCTTTCTCACTCTCTCTCAAATAAATAAATCTTAAAAAAAAAAAAACTAAACTGAACTAAATCAAAGGTACATTCACATTCTATTTAGAAAATAGAATTTAATTCTATACCTAAACCACCAATATATACATACAAATTGTTAATATAGCTACTCTGTAGCATCAGTTCCAAATAAATCCATGTATGGTTTGGTCTACTAGGTTTGTACCCTTGTGTTTTGGAATTTGGCTTTTTAATTGTTTCTGTGTGGAAAAAACCAACACAGATAAATAATTATATGCTCAGAGATTCCGGTCCCCAAACACTTCCTTCTTTCCCCTTCCCCACCTGAAACACTAACAAATACTTACATAAGATTGACAGAGCTACTTTAAACATTTGGTATTCTGCTATGATGACAAGATCCTCACTTTTTAGTAACTTTTTAGTTCCAAAAAGTAAAGATAATGGATCATTTTTAATGTTTTTAGGCTTTAATTGTAAAACTTGTAGCACAGTGATTAAGAAAACAGGTTGCCTAAGTTTCTAAATTGAAACTTTCTCTACCTCTGTCTTTATTTCCTTATCTACAATGAAGATAATACCTACCCTATAGTTTCCTGTGAAGATTAAATTATTAATAATGTATAATTTGCTTATAACAGTGACTAGCAAATAGTAAATCCTCTATAGGTATTAGCTGTTGTTATTATTATACAGTGTAAAAGTAACATTTTGATGGTCTTTTTCTCCTAGATAACTGATGAGGCCTCATAAGGCATTAAATTAACAATAAAATGTGAACTGTTCAAGAAAAATATTTTCATTCACTTATTCTAAATATGTACCTTTCGTGCTATTGGTTCCTGACCTTCCATCAATGTGTACCAGCTGACAAGTTTATTCCAGCCCTCAGTTGGCAATAGTATGTAATCCAATTCATCAATAAGATGTTCCTTAAGTGACTGGGCATCACCATCTGCAAAAGAAAAAAGTAAACTCAATAAAAAAAAGAAACCATAGTACATATATCTAAATACCTTAGCGTAAATATCATAAGTTACTTAAACTCATAGAGACTAATTTAAGAATTTTTTTTTCTTTTTTTTTTCTTATGAGAGAGAGAGAGAGCACATGAGAGGGGGGAGGGTCAGAGGGAGAAGCAGACTCCCTGCTGAGCAGGGAGCCCGATGTGGGACTCGATCCCGGGACTCCAGGATCATGACCTGAGCCGAAGGCAGTCGCCCAACCAACTGAACCACCCAGGCGCCCCTAATTTAAGAATTTAAATGAGTTCTGAAGAAAGCTCTGAAGAAGTTCACATATAAATCTACATATTCCAAAATAAACTGTTGCTTTAAAAAGATTCAGTGTGTACCAGTAGTCAAAGAACAGTGTTTAAAGACATAATTTTTATTAAGTTCTTAAAATAACAAGGGATCTGAAAGAAGTGTGTTTCCCAAATATTTAAAGTAGGAGATCCCTCACAAGGTAACAGTGGTTATTCTAGTATTAGCTGATGAAGGAAATTCAGATGCAAATTGATAACCTTTTACAATGACTCCAAAGCACATGGGCTGGGAACCATGATGGAAATCACAAAAGCGTGTCTTATGAAACAAATCATTATTCCAGAAGGCCCACGATCTAGATTCCTCCCAAAATCTCAAGTGGAGGTAGTTGTTCAGATGTGGTTTTAATTCTATGATCATTTTCAAAATTCTGGTTAAACTAAAAATTTAGTGCAGGGCAGGCCAGACATCTAGAAGCAATACCATGAGTTATACCTACATGACAGACCTAATCTGAGACTCATTTATTATTATCTGGTCCTTTTACCTGAATTTCCAAAGTACAGAAACAGATATAGTTCATCGAGTTATATACAACATAAAGAAGATTTTCTCAATTTGAGCCAGTCTTAAATTAACAAACATGGGAAGCAAAATTGTTCTCAGTAGCATCTCAATAATGAGAACACACTATTCTTAATTAGACGTAACAATATAAATCAAGAAGCAGGAAAAGTTCTGAAAGGATTGAGATAAAGTTATTTATTCCATCTAGGATTAATCAATGGTCACAGAATTACCTACTTTTTTTTTTTAAGATTTTATTTATTCATTTGAGAGAAAGAGAGAGCACGAGCATAAGCACAAGCAGGGGGAGAAGCAGAGGGAGAGGGAGAAGGAGACTCCCCGCTGAGCTGGGAGCCTAACATGGGGCTCAATCCCAGGACCTGGAGATCATGACCTGAGCCGAAGGCAGATGTTTAACTATCTGAGCCACCTAGGCACCCCAAATTACACTAAACTTTGAACAGAGCAGAAATGATAAACTCTGAATTGTATAATACAAACTTCAATAGCAAATACAAACCAAGCACTAATTTTTAAGCTCAGTTTTTTTAAACCTTAGTTGTAATTTTAAATTCTTGATGGGGAAACTGATAATTTGGAACATATTTTTAGTCTGCTGAAGGTGAAAGAAACTTACATATTCTAAACCCCTATATGCATCATATTCTATGAGACATATTACAGTAAACAACCATGTTATCTCAGTCAGTTCTCAAAACAATCCTATAAGATAGGTATCTCCATTTTAGATTGCAAAATATTTTTAGAGAAACTGAGTAACTTGCCCAAGATCATACATACAGAAAATTGCAGGTACTGTGCAAAGTGTTACTAGAAAACACTGCTATCTCAGGTGACTTTTCAAAACAATATTATGAGGTAGCTATCCCCAAATTAATTAGTAAACAGATTCAGGTATTAATTAACTTGCCGCAGGTTACGCATATAGAAGGCTGTAGAAACTGGATTCAAATACAAATTGGTTTACTCTAACATCCATTTTCTTCCTACTATTAACAGACAGCCTTGAAGAAAACTTAGGAAAAGAAAGAAGAGTTTAAAAATTAAGACTTTTATGCTGTTTTCCACAATAATTTAAGAGTATGGGTATATGATTTTATTATCTATCAGAATCCAATATTAATTTTATATCTAATGGACAAAATAAAACAATCAATTTTTTTTTTTTAAGATTTTATTTATTTATTTGAGACAGAGAGAATGAGAGAGAGAGAGAGCACATGAGAGGGGGGAGGGTCAGAGGGAGAAGCAGGCTCCCTGCCGAGCAGGGAGCCCGATGCGGGACTCGATCCAGGGACTCCAGGATCATGACCTGAGCCGAAGGCAGTCGCTTAACCAACTGAGCCACCCAGGCGCCCACAATCAATTTATTTTTAAGAGAGGAGAATAGGGCGCCTGGGTGGCTCAGTTGGTTAAGCGACTGCCTTCGGCTCAGGTCATGATCCTGGAGTCCCTGGATCGAGTCCCGCATCCCCGCATCGGGCTCCCTGCTCAGCGGGGAGTCTGCTTCTCCCTCTGATCCTCCCCCCTCTCATGCTCTCTCTGTCTCATTCTCTATCTCAAATAAATAAATAAAATCTTTAAAAAAAAAAAAGAATACCCCTAAGCTAAACACAGAAGAGCTGATTATTTGTTACTTCTGCATTTATTGATACATAAATGATATACAATAAACTGCACATATTTAAAGTGAACTATTTGTTAAGTTCTGACAGAGCAATACAAGTGTGAAAACATCACCACAACCAAAATGATGAATATATCCATCCCCCTCAAAGGTTTCCTAGCAATCCTTAGTAATCTCTCTTTCCTGTCCATTCAGGTCTACTGTTCTATCCCCAGAAAATCACTTATCTGTATTTTGCAACTATAGACTAATGTGAATTTTGTAGAATTATATATGAAAATTATGTCTGGATGAATGGATAAAGAAGATGGGACACACACACACACGGGAATATTACGCAGCCATCAAAAAATGAAATATTGCCATTTCCAATGATGTGGCTGGAACTAGAGGGTATTATGCTAGGTGAAATAAGTCAGTCAGAGAAAGACAATTATCATATGATCTCACTGACACGTGGAATTTAAGAAACAAAGGATCATAGGGGAAGAGAGAAAAAATGAAACAAGATGAAACCAGAGAGGGAGAAAAACCATAAGAGACTCTTAATCTCAGGAAACAAACTGAGGGTTGCTAGAGGGGAGGTGGGTGGAGGGATTGGGTAAGTGGGTAATGGACATTAAGGAGGGCATATGATGTAATGAACACTGGTATTATATAAGACTGATGAATCACAGGCCTGTACCTCTGAAACCAATAATACATTATATGTTAATTAATTAAGTTTAAATAAAATGTTTTTAAAAAAAAATAAAATCTAATTTGTCTAAAAAAAAGAAAATTATGTCTGTTTTCTATTACTAAAGGCATTTTCTTTAATCTTATATAAAAATTTGATGCACTGTTTTTGTTTGGCTTCCTTTACACTGCATAATTATCTTGAGAGCCACTGTTGTTTTTACATATCAATACTTCATTCCTTTCAACTCTATGTAGGATTTCATTATACGAATATACTATAATTTGCTTATCCATTCAGCTACTGATGGGCATTTGGGGTTGCTTCCAATTTTCTCTATTACAAATAACACTGCTATGAACATTTGTGTGTAAGTATTCGTGTATGGATATACACTCTCATTTCTTTTGGGTAAATATGTAGGAGTGGAATGACTGGTTCCTATAGTAAACTTATGTTTAGCTTTTTGAGAAATTTCCTGATTATTTCATTTCCAAAAACAGTGTATGAAAGCACCACTTGTTTCACATCCTTGTCAACACTTGGTATCGGTCATTCATTTAAATTTTAATCATTTTGATACACATACAGTAATACTTCATTGTTGCTTTAAGCCTCATTTCTCTAATGACTAATGATGCTATGTATCTTTGCAGTTTTTGAAAACTCCATTTTCTTTGGTGAAGCATCTGTTCAAATCTTTTGTCTACATTTTCCACTAGGTTTTACATTAATATAGTTTTGAGAATTCTTCATTCTGCATACAAGTCTTTTATCAACTAGGCAGTCTGCAAATATTTCCCCCACACCATAGTTTGTCTTTTAATTCTTTTAACAGTATCATTTATTACTGATCAAACACAATTAACGGCTTAAAGTTCATTCTTTTATCAATTGTGCTTTTTATATCACATTTAAGAAAGCTCCCTAACACAATGTCACAAAGATTTTCTCCTATTTTTTTCCTTTAAGTTTTATAGTTTATATGATCTGTTTTGAGTTTATTTCATATATGATGCCAGATACAGATCAAAATTCAGGTTTGTTTTGTTTTTTTTCAAACAGATACTTAATGCTCAGGCAGCATTTGTTTAAAAGACTACCCTCTCTCTATTGAAATCCTCTTACATCTTTGCCTAAAATCAACTGACCACATATATGTGGATCGACTTTTGGATTCTCTAATCTGTTCAACTGATCCTTACCTCACACTACATACAAATATTAAATTAAAATTGATCAAAGTCATAAATATAACAGCTAAAAGTATAAAATTCTTAGAATAAAGCATAGGTATAAATCTTGTATGACCTGGATTAGGTGATACATTCTGACACCACAACCACAAGTAACCAAAGAAAAAATATAAAGTGGACTTAGAACTAAAAACTCCTGTGCTTCAAAGAAACCATCAAGAAAGTAAAAGACAATCTACAGAATGGGAGATAATTTTTGGAAATCTTATATGTCAGATAAGGGGCTAGTATCCAGAATATATAAATAACACTTGAAACATAAGAATACAAAGACAAGTAGTCCAATTAAAAAGAACAGGATCAGGGCGTCTGGGTGGCTCAGTCGTTAAGCGTCTGCCTTCGGCTCAGGTCATGATCCCAGGGTCCTGGGATCGATCCCCGCATCGGGCTCCCGGCTCAGCGGGAAGCCTGCTTCTCCCTCTCCCACTCCCTCTGCTTGTGTTCCTGCTCTTGCTCTCTCTCTGTCAAATGAATAAAATCTTTAAAAAATAAATAAATAAAAATAAAAAGAACAGGATCAGAATACACATTTCTCCA